GATGGCTCGTGGTTGCATCCCTTTGCCCCCCGCCCCCGCCGCACTGAGGCTTCTCGTCTGCGCCGGTCCCGCGAGGACACAGCGCGTCTCACCCTCACTGTGCTGTCACCGGCGCCTCTGCAGCTCGGTAGCGAGGCCGGGTTCTTACCATATGCTCCTCGCCTGCTGCGTAAATCGTGCTCTTGTCCTTTCGCCAGCTCCCCAGGGCTCAGCGTGGGCTTCTGGTTCAGTGCCACTGCAGACAGTTCGATTTTACATTCGTGACGCTTTGGGGGCCGGCATGTGGTTGATCGCAGCCCACGTTCCACATACGCTTGACAGGGAGGTGCGGCTTGCCGTGGGGAATGTTCTAGAAATGCCAGCTAGTTCGGGTCAGGGGAGAGGTCTGCCTGGGCGCTGCGGACGGCTGGCCTTCTGTCTACTTTCTGTCCCGATTCCTAAGCGGCCGCGGGTGTCACCGAGGACCACTGTGGGTTCGTCGGCTTCCGCTCTCGGTCTGGGTCCACTGTCCTCCCGCCGAGCAGCCCCGTTTACCCTTACGTAACTCCCCCCTTTGTCTCGGGCGGTGTTCTGGGTTTCGAAGTCTACCTTTTCTGACAACTACATAGCCGTTCAGCTTCTTTTTGGGGGTGTTTCCACCTTTAACCACTAACCTGACTCATGTCAGTGTTTACAACGTGGACGACATGTGGATACCACCCAAGTCAATAGACGGAGCATTTCCATCACCCCAGGACACCCCTCTGCTCCTCAGGGAGCCACCGCCCTGACCGCCACCGCTATAGAGGCTTCATGTGTTCTAAAACCTCGTGGAAATGGAAGACACTCTTTTGTGGATGGCCGTTCCTCCACAGTTTGTATGAGATCACTCATGTCCACCAGTACACCACCATGTCTTTATTCACTGATGGACATTTGGGTTGTTCCTTGTTGGCGCTGTGATGGATGATGCTGCTTCGCACACTCACACACGAGTCTTTGTGTGGACATATTTTCATTTCTTTGGGGCAAATACCTAGAATTTCGGGGCTGCAGAAGACTGGTGCTTCTGTCTTCGTAAGGAGCTGAGAAACTGCCCTGCCGTGCTCCCCACACCCCTGCAGCCACCCTCAGTGACACCTGGGTGTGGGTCACGCAGCGGCGGCGATGAGCCGCCCAGGGGAGCCCGCACTTTGGTTCACTTTCCTGAAGACCCGCGGTGTTGAGCACCATGCTGGGGGCTCACTGGCCAACTGTGTGTCTCGCTCAGTGAAGTGTTGAAATATTTTCTCATTACATACCGCTTTCTTTCAACAAGTTGTTAATATTTCTTTCCATCTGTGACTATGTTTTTCATTTTCTTAATGGTGTGTTGAAGAAAAGCTTTTAATTTCGATGAAGTGAGATTTATTACTGTTCCCTTCTATGGTTATTGCTTATGGATCCTTTCTAAGAAATCTGCTTATCCCGAGGTTGTATGTACATATGTATTTCCTTCCAGAAAGTTTTGTTTTAGCTTTTATGTTTCAGTTTACTTTTTTAAAGATTTTATTTATTTGTGAGAGAGGGAGGGAGAGTGAGCATGAGAGAGAGCAAGAGAGAGAGAGCAAGACAGAGAGAGAGAGCAAGAGAGAGCACAAGCACGAAGGAACGGCAGAGGGAGAAGCAGACTTCCCGCTGAGCAGGGAGTCCGAAGCGGGACTCGATCCTGGGACCTGAGATCATGACCTGAGCCAAAGGCAGACGCTTCACTGACTGAGCCCCCGAGGTGACCCTATGTTTCGGTTTATAACATTTTTCAAATTAGTTTTTGTGCATGGTGTGAGATGAGGGTGGGGGTCAATGCCTTTACCTCAAACCTCCAATTGTCTCTGCACCATTTGTAGAAAACTCCATCCTTCCGCATCAAAATGCCCAGCACAGCTGCCTCACATGTTCTCCTGGCCTTGGTGGTTCTTGGTCCAATCCTGGCTTCTCCGTCCCGGCTAGAAACAGAAAGCTGGGTCTTGCCTTTCCACGCAATTTGGAGAGCTCATCTTTTGATGAGTTAAACTCACTTATATTTATTGTAATTTCTGCTACATTGGGATATGTTTAAGCTGTTTCTCTTGTTCTTCTGTTTACATGTGCTGTCCCCTCCCATAAAAGAAAACTTGACCTAGTTGGCTAATCTTGAAGGTTTTATGTTCTAATTTTTTTCCTCCTTGGTGGCTGCTCCCAACTTAAGACCAAGGTTTGTATGTTTTAAGAGTTTAATAAATTGATATCATGCCGCCCACCGCCAAATAAAGCAAGCGCTTTGGTTGCCTTCAGGAACCTGCCCTCCCACACACCAGCCACTGTGGAAGGATCTAGAATTGTAGTGATTCGTCCATGTGGAGGGCTTCGTTATTCAGTCGGTAGCAAATTTCATTGCCTTTCAGTGACTATGGGGTTTCCTGTGTATTGGGTCTAATTTCTGGTTATTCTCCCCTTTCTGCAGAAGCCCCCCAACTGGATTGCCAAAGAGGATCTTGTCTCCCCTTCTGAGATTTGGGGACTCAGAATATGTTTTTACCACATTGATATCAGTGATAATTCCACTGGATGTAAAATTTGAGTATTTTTTCTTCAACACTTCGGGTCATTATGCTCCTGTCTTCTAACACAGAGCTGACACCTAAGGAATATTTCTATTATCTTTGTCGTGTTTTGCATTAAAGAATCTAAGGGTGTATTTTTTTTGAGAGGGGAGGGGGGTCAGAGGGAGAGGACCCCGCGATCCCAGGACCCCGGGATCATGACCTGAGCCGAAGGCAGATGCTTAACGACTGAGCCACCCAGGCGCCCCCCTAAGGGTGTACTCTAAAAATCGATCCCATTTGGTTCTCTAAGCCTTTCAGTGTAAGGTCTCAGATCTTCTCTAATTTTTTAAAAACGATGTATTTCAGCACTCTGCAGTCCTCATTCACTTGCTGCCCCTTTCCTCTTGGACCCCTGCCATATGGATGTCGACACTCACATTCTCTCTTTTTCATCCCCTTTTGAGCCCCGGGGAGACATCTTCTGGCTGGTCCCGTAACCGCCCCCCCTGCCTTCCTCTTACTTCTCCTTTTGTGTCGTCCACACTGGGCTGCCGATGGTCTTTTCTTTATTCTTGTTAATTCTGGCTTTGTGTCATTACTGTCCATCCTTCCGTCTTTGATGGTGTTGTGATTTTTAGGTTAATGGCATCCGTGTTGGTCTGGTGGAGGCTGTCTGCCCAGGTCAGGTTCTCTGCTCCCCTGAAGCCTTGTTTTCCCGTTACATTGTCTCCCAGACCCGATAGTGGTGCTGCATGTGAACACGTGTGCGGCGGGTGTACGGTCGGGCACACACGTGTGTACGTGTCTGGGAATGCGTGCGTGGGAATGTGAGTGTGTGCGGAGGGTTTGGGTGCTGGCCTCTTGCGGACACGTGCAGTCAGCCCCAGGCTGAGGTCGCGAGGGCGGGTGGCAGGGGTGCTGTCTCTCCAGCCTGCCAAGCCGGGTCGGAGGTGGCAGGCAGGGCCGTGGCAGATTGGGGCGGGCAGGGCGGGGAGCCAGTGCCCAGTCCTGCTGGGCTCTCATGCTGGATGGCAACTCCCTCCCCTGCCTCCCCGACCGAACAATCCAGGGCGGGCGCCTTCCGACTGCCCCCCTCTGACGGTGCCCCCCGGGCCGAGCCTGGCCTGCCTTCACACCCAGAGAACCAGCCCCGAGGCTTCCCCTCACTCTGAGACAGCGGCCCCCCCCACTTCTGTCCCCATGAACCCTGGACCCGTCACCCCCTCTGCCCTTGGCTTCCAGGGGGCACCTGGAACCTGTTCGCCCACCCCAGACTGCTCCCCCCAGGGCTCAGCCTCTGCCAGCAGCCTGTCCTGAGCTGCACCTGCCCTCACCACCTCCATCTCAGAGGACAACGGACGAGGTTCCTGAGGTCTTACCCACAGATCATGCAAAGCAGACAACAGGTCCCATTAGTCCCCTGCTCAGAAGCCCCAGTGGTCTGCTCCTAAGTCAAAGTCCAGATCCCACGCCACCGTGCTGCCCGAGGTCTGGTGGGCTGACCCTGCCCCTGGCCCTAGGCTCAGCTTTCTCTGTCCCCGCCACTGCAGCTTCTGCAGCCTCCGGCCGTTCCGGGCACTGCCATGGCCCTGGCCTCCCACGTGCTGTGTCCCTGCTAGAGCCTCTCCTGCCTGCCGCGCCCCTCTCTGTTTCTGTCTCTGCTCAAACGTCACCTCGGAAGCCTTTGTTGGCCTCCGCATCTAAAGGAGGCCCACCCCAAATTCTTCCTAGTCTGGAACATGATGTGGTGTCGACAGGCCATAGCAGATGCGGCTCCAGACCCACAGCTGGTGAGGTTTCTAGGTGAGTGAGTGTGGGGCATGGCCAGGGGGTGCTTACGGCACCAACTGCGCTGTCCAGGCTGCTGGGCGGGAGCAGGGGGGGCAATGGCAGTGACAAGGCATGGTGCCAGCCAGTCAGGGTCCCCACAGGGCCCAAGCACATGGGAGGGGAGCTGGACGTTATGACATTAGAGAGGGGGCTGCTACTAGGGAGGTGGGGAGCCCCCTGAGACTGCCCAAACCCAATGCCTGGCTGGGCCCAGGAGGTCAGTGTTTGAGGGAGGGCTGGGCACTGCGTTCAAAGCCCCCGCACCCCCCAGTAGCTCCGAGTGCAGCTGAGAAACCGCATCCTGGGGCACAGAGTCCCGCGGTAACAGGGCGACGGTGGGGTGGGGGTCCTCGAAGCCATGGAAGGATGGTAGCTTCTCTCTGAGGGCCAGGGGTGGGGAGCCTTGGACTCCACTTGGCAGGGGTGGACTCTGGGCCCTGGGGACACCCTCCCTGTAGTGAGCAGCCCCCTGCCTTGGCGAGCATGCTGCAGTTTATCTGAGTGTAGAAAACAGTACAAAGGAAAGGCTCCCCACCACCCTCCTTCCGCTCCCAGGTCCCTCCCGGACTCGCTCCTCCTGCCCGCACAGCCGCTCTCGGTGCCCAAAGTCTGGGGAGGGGTGCAGGGTCACTGTGGGCAGCACGGGAACCGTCCTGGCAGGAGAGAAAGGTGGGCAGGTCTGAGCCAGACTGCAGCAGCCCAGCCCGCCTGGCACCGTGGACCCGAGCCCCCCGGGTCTCAGTGTGTCCAGCAGAGCCATGAGCCTGCTGCTAGTAGGCTTCTCCTCCTCGGGGCGTGCCTCCTGCCCTGGTCCCTTTACCCACCTGGGTCAGGTGTCCGTGGCGGTGTGCCCCTAGTCTCCCTTCCTGACATGCTCGCCCCGGCCAGGGCCTCCCTGGGCTCTCCTGGCTCCCCCACATCCGCCCACGGGCTTGTGAGGTTCCCCCAAGGCCCATGAACCCCCTCATGCCTTCATCCCAGCCAGCCAGGAGGCCCTGCTCCTTGGGCACCTGCACTCTCTGTGCTGCACCCCCACCTCGCAGCTGCCCCTTGGGGCTCCCCCTCCCCGCAGGTGGGGGCTCACCTGTTCCTCCTGGGGGTCCTGGAGGCTCGCTCCCTTTCAGCTGAGGGCTGCCCATGTGACTGAGTGCTCTGGGCTCACCTGAGCAGAAGGAGGGCGTGCTCGAACCAAGAGGTGCAGAAAGCAATGCTTTCCTTTCCCTTCTCAGGGACCCTGTTCTGATTGATGGGAAGGTGGGTGCCTGAGCCCCAAACAGACACCAGCTGTTGGCTCCGCGGCCAAGTCGGGGAGGCTCAGTGGGGGGGTCCTCACGATAGCATGTGCCAGCCTTGTCAAAGAGGGGGTACTCACCCCAAAGGCCATGTCTGGGGAACTGTGATGGGCTATGGTGGGCAGGGGGTTCCCATGAGTGAGGCCCTCAATGCACAGCCTGAGGTGTGGACCCCTCCCTGCCCACAGCGCAGTGCTCCAGCCCCACTCCGCCCCTCTCCTTTCTCCCTGATCCAGGCCCACGAGCTCTGTCTCCCCTAATCAGCCTCCCATCCATCTTAGCACCTGAGCCGTGACCAGCACTGCAGCCCCAGTCAGATGGAGGGATGCAGGACAAGGTCATTAGACCAAGCCCCCTGCTGCATCCGAGCATCGAGCATTGGGCCTGCGAGCATGTGGGAAGGAGGACGGGGGAGGGATGCCAGGACAGCAAATGGCCCTAATCTTGGGCATATCCTGAGAGAATGGGGAAGGGGCCCCTTTGGGGACCCCAGGAAGCCAGGCAGTGTCCAGTCCTGCCCTAAGTGACCTCTGTGTGGGCTCAGGGGCCCGGGGAGGGTGGGCAGCCCAGTACCGGGAGAGGAGCTGCAGGGCCCCAGACCCTCCCCATAGGGCCAGTACCTCTGTTCACCGGGCGGGGGCCAACATCTCCCCCTTCTCCAGGGAGCCGGGCCTCACTGAGTGTGCCGGGGTGCCTGGGGGCCTCCCAGATGGGCCTGAGGGGCCTGGCGCTCTCATGGAGAAAGGAGTGGAACTTCAGCACATGAGCTGGGGGTTGGGGTGGAGGGGGCATCAGCAGGGTGGGGCGCAGGGCACAGGGGGCGCCCATGTGCCTTCCCCCCTTGCTCCACGATGCATGGCCAAGGAGAATGGCCGGGTCAGGCTGGGCCTGCCAGTGACGAGGCGCCCAGGCTGCTGTGAGCACAGAGGCTGCACGGGGGGCATGGGAGGCTCTGGGGTCCTCACGAGGAAGCTACACCACTTACTCTGGATGGCAGACTCGCAGGCCTGGCTCAGGAGCTGGTAGATGGTGGCCAGGGACTGTGGCTCACCCTGCAAGGGAGGATGGGCCATGTGGCCACGTTCTGTGACCAGCGGCACGAGGGCCGGTACCTCCCCTGTGCTCCCCAGGAAGTGCCTGGACCCCAGACAGGGGCCTACTCACCTTCTCTCCTCGCTCCCCTTTGGGTCCTGGCAGGCCCTGGAGTGGAGGAAAAGAGGAAAAGCAGGTCGGGACAGAGAAGTAAACCAACAGCAGAGGAGATGTGCTTGGACCCCATCCTGGCTCCCCTCTGGGCAGGCGAGGGCTGCATGCCAGGCCTGGGGTTAGGGTCAGGGCGTCTCCTGACTCTGCTCCTGGTGGGGGTGGGGGTGGGGGGTCCCACCCATCTGGCGGGAGGAAGACCAGGCAAGGCAGAGCCTGATCCTAGGGAGCTGGCTGCAGGGAGTCCCCAGTGGACAAAGGGCCTGCCGCTAGCAAGCCAGCCAGCCAGGAGGCAGGTCCAGAAGCCCGCCAGGCCTGTACGGAGTGCGTCCCCGCCCCTGGGCCTGCCTTCCTCCCTGTCCCCAGCTGGAGCCCCCTCCTTGGCTTGTAGGCCCAGGTCTGGCCCCACACCCTAGAGCCCACAGCCCCACCGTCTGTGCCCCACCTGTCCTGGGTCTGGGGTTCTGGCAGGGGCAGCTCCGGGCTCCCTCTGCTGAGCCCCAAACCCAAATTCTTTGCAGGCCTGGCTTTACAAAGTGGCCTGATTGGTTGGGAGGGAGGAATTTGCTCACATTTGCTCCCTGTCTCCCCATTCCTGGGGAGGTGGTAGGTGGGAAGCGGACTTACCGTGGGCCCCACGGCCCCCGGGGGTCCTCTCTCCCCTCCAGTGCCCCTGGCCCCCGCCGTGCCCTGGAAGCCCTGCAGAGGTGTGGAGGGGCGGTTGGCTGCAGGCCCCGGACAACGCGGCCCCTCCTCCCTCCTGCCCTGGCTCCCTGTGGTCTGGGTCCCTGCGGCCTTGGACCCACACCAGATCCTTCACTCCTCCCAGCTTCCCGCAGGCTGAGCCTCATTGCCCACCTCAGGGCTGGTCCAGGCCCCATGTGCAGGGCAGAGCCCTGCCCGCCCCACCCCTCAGCTGTGATTCTTCACTAAAACACCCCCTGGCTCTGTTCCAGCCATCCTGAGTGTGACCATGGTCCTCCCCTCAGCCCCCACCCCGCCCCTGCCCTGGCCCCCTGGCGGCCTTTTGCGGGACAGGCACCCGGCCGAGGCCACCTTGGGCGCCCCCACTCAGAGCAGCAAGGACCTGGCTGGCTGGGGAGGGCAGGTGCTTCTGAGTGAGGCAGCCTAGAGGGAGAAGGAGGCCCAGGTCACGTGCTGTAGCCAGCCTCACCGCCCACCCTCCCCAGGCAGCCCCGGCAGCCCGGGCACTTTCCTGCCACATGGATCTTGCACAGGGGTGCCTGGGGCTGTCCAACCTGCCAGGGGAGGCAGGAAAGACCCTCACACAGTGTGCGGCAGGCTCCTGGGCACAGGGCACCCGCACGCCCGGCGGAGCTCTGCACGGTTCCCGCCCAGGAGGAGAGGCCTCCCCGGGTCACCTCCTCCCGCTGTGGCCTGTGTTGTGTTCAGCCCTGAGGAGGTGGTGGGAGGACCCTCGAAGGGCAGGTGGTGCCTACCCTCGGGCCTGGAGGTCCAGGCGGGCCAGTGCTCCCCTCCAGGCCTCGCATTCCCTGAGGGCAAAGGAAGGGGCAAGCTGGGTGGGGAGGGGGCCCGGCACCCCTACACGCCCTCCCGTGGATGCCCATGTGGCCGCCACAAGCAGACACGCAGTGACCCGTCCCTGTGAACCTGTGCAGCACTCTGAGAGCCCACGAGGCCAGCCCAGCTCGGGGCCCGCTGCCCCGCCCCGGGCATTGACCACAGCCCCCTCCCCACTGGCCAGGCCACCGCCCCCTCAGCCTCTGTCCAAGACCCTCCCGCCGCAGGCTTCCCTCCCACCTTTGGTCCCTGGAGGCCGACCTTCCCGGGGGCTCCCTGGAGACCAGGATGGCCCTAGAAGGGAACAGAGATGGCTGGCCAGGCCGAGGCCAAGGTCTGAAGCAGAGGAGACCCATGTCCCCGCCCATGCCCTCCCTGCCCACGGGCCCTGAGAGGGGTCTGACCCCACTACCTGCAAGCCCGGGAGCCCATGGTCACCTTTCTCTCCTTTGACCCCTGGCGGACCCTGGAGAGGAAAGAGACTCAGCGGCTAGTCTGTCCTGGAGGAAGGGGGAGGGGCAGCACAGAGCAGGGGGAGGGGAGGAAGCACCTACCACAGGTCCCTGCACGGTTCGGCCCTGGGTCCCTGGGGACCCCTGCTGCCCTCCAGGACCCTCAGGCCCCATCTGTCCAGGTGGCCCAGGCTCCCCCTGCAGATGCAGGCGGGGGAGGGGCTGAGAAGGTCTGGGGGGCCCTCCAGCAGCCCCTCCCTCTGTCCTGTCCTCAGTGGCCCTCCTGGCCCTCCGGCTGACTTTGGTACCAGACCCGGGCTTGTGCAGAGACGTCTTCACCCTCACTGCCCACTCTGGGAGGGGTCCCGCTGAGATCCTCTCTACTGCCAGGAACAGACCGCGGCCGCGGCTCCAGGTCACGGAGCCCGGGGACCTGCTCTCCCTTCCCGACCCAGAGGTGTGCAGAAACCAGCATGGCAGAGCCGACCCGGGCAGGCCAGTCACAGACTCAGCCCTCGCTGGAGCGTTCTCCCAAATCTCTAAGGGACAGGGGACACCCACTATTTCCACCGCTTGGGATTGCGGGGCGCGGGGGGATGAGAGAATGCCTTCAGGTAATCTTTGTGAATTCAGCATATCCATGTACCAAACTCCGTAAAGAAAACTGCAGATATTCTCATGTGTGACTATCAGTGAGAAAGTCCTCAGTAGGACATCGGCAGGCAGAGCCCAGCCGCACATCACGTGGGTGGGAAGTACCCAGTTTATGCAGTTCAGGATTCAGGAAGACACTAAGATCATTCACCAAACTATCAGCTCCAGGAAGAAAAATTATTTGGCTGTGTCCAAAGCAGCAAATCTTACTTAATATCCACACTTGAGTTTTTAAATCTAATAAGGTAAGAACACATGGACGTGACAATCACACAACCCAACGCATCCATCTCTGCTCCCGAGCCTGCTCTGCACAAACACTGGTGTGGCAAACGTGGTCACAACTCACATGTGTGGCTGATTTCCATAAAGTATACTGCGCTCCCAAGAATTAGTAAGAAAAGCACCCAGTGGAAAGCGTTCAAAGGACATTTGTCCAACAAGAAAATTCCAGCAACTTCCAAAGGGTGTTGGAGCTGCTTTAGGAAAAAAGCCAGTTAAAATGGTGTCAACACAGTTCACCTGTCAGAGTGCTCAAGGTCAGAGACGAGATGAGATTTGCGATTTCTGGGGTGGGGTGGGAAGCTGGCCGCTCCCTGGGGAGGGCACCTTGCTTCTAGTTGTGGGGCTGACTCCTGCATTCTCATGAAAGGTAGGGTCCAGCCCCACAGGACTCCCTCCTACTCACCCTGGGCCCTGGGAAGCCCTGCTCTCCTGGGGCTCCGTTCCTTCCAGGGAGGCCCTGCAAGGGCACGGTCAGGGCTCAGCGCCATCCACCCGAGGGCCCCACAGCATTGCCCTGGACTGCAGTCCCCAAGTTTCGGTGGAGAAGGGGAAGGGTCTTTCGGGGCAAGAGAATCCTAGCCCATCCTTTCCTCCCACAGCCTCTTGGTAGAGCAGACTCCTGTTCCAGCAGGTCCTGGTTCAAATCCTGGCCCCCGTCCGGTGTGGACTGCTGAGCGGAGCCAATGCCTGATGACCGACATTCGAACCGCAGGCCCCGCCCCATGGGGGGTCCAGGGCCTGGAGAGCCACCTCCCAGGCCCCACAGTGAGTACCCAGGACAGAGGCTACCCACGTGGCTATGACTCGCCACACCCACTGGCCACCACCAGCACAGGGCCGCACTCCCACGGGGAAATTGGGGATATGCTGGATCCCCAGACAGGGGTCAGCCCGGAGGAGGGCAACTGCGGGGTGGGGGGAAGGAGAGGCTGGGTGGTCAAGGCAGCTGGGGGATGCAGGAGCACGTCCCATCTTGGAGGCAGGCTGGGACAGCTGCTCGGTGCTGTGGCAGCAGGACGCTGCCGAGACCCCTGGTCACCCCAGGGGAGGAGAGGATGGACTCACCGGAGGTCCTTGGGGCCCTGGGGGCCCAGGGGTCTGCGAGGAACAGGTGCAGGTGGAGGCGGATGGGAAGGCAGGGCAGGTCTCTCCATCCTTCTGGGGAAAAGGAGACCCCACTCATTAAGTGGCCCCCTAGCTGTTCTCATCTGACCTAGAGCTCCGAGGAGCCACAGACACCTGGGTTCCAGGCTGCCTGGGAGGCTGGAAATGAGGGCAGGGACCCCACCCTGGGTGCCACCCCCCAGGCTGCCCCGCCCGGGCTGTCTCCCAGTCCCTCCCAAGTCCCAAGCGTGGCCAAGCCCGGTGTGGGTACGGTGTGAGGAACCCTGCCCACACCCGCAAGGTGCGGAGGCCACCCGAGTCTCTGGCAGTCCCTCTGGCTTCGCCAGATGAGCGCCTTCCTGGCCCGCTGAGTGCACCCTAGCTGTGCCCACAGAAAAAGGCTGTGCCACCCCTGCCGCTGGGACTTCCTGACACGCTCCAGCCTGCCTGGCCCCCAGGGCCTCCGGGACACTTGCATCCAGCTGCCCAGGGCTCTGGCTCTGGCCCAGAGGCCACCTCCTCCAGGAAGCCTTCCTGATCTCTGCCAGCACCGTGATGGTGGACATGCTGTCCACCCCCAGACTCTGGGACCCTTGGCAGGCGCTAGGCCCCCGTACCGCCGCAGGGAGCTCGCAGCACACGTCTTCCTCTGCCCAGGACTCGCTGCACACGATCTGCAGCATCTGGAGCTGGAACTATGACACGGAGCAGGGTCGACCAGACGAGGCTGCAGTTCCGTGGCCCCCCTCCGGCCCAGCCCAGCAGGACAAGGTCCATGCTCACTGTGGCTGAGCTGCTCCGGGGGCCCCGGGCCTTGGCCAACCTCCCCAGCATCACGAAGCCTGCGGCAGGTGGGCTGCCCGCCTCCCCGATGGGCCTCTCGGCCACCTTCCGGCAGTCCACGTAGAGCCTGACCTTGGAGCGGCCCACGGCCACGTGCACCTGCCAGACACCAGAGAGGTTCCCCTGCAGCCCCAGCCAGGGTGGGCACCCGCCTGTGCCCACAAGGCCAGGCCAGACAGCAGGGCCCAGCACCTGGGGGTCAGGATCCTAACTCCACCCCAGGTCTCACGAGGCCTCAGTTTCCCCTTTATAGAGTAGACCAAATCACACTTGTTGCAGACCCCTCCCAGGGATTTGTGGGACCCAGAAAGGGCTGGATGCTCTTTGACCCAAATGAAGACATCTGTCTAGAGCGGACCGTGGGGCAGAGGCTCGGACAGGCCAACGTGACTTTCAAGGAAAATGGGGGGGAGCGGGGGTGGGGTGGGGCGGGGAGAGACGGTGTGTGATGGGCAGCCTGCAGAGGCAAGCACGTCTTGCGGGTCCTGTGTGTGTGGGGGTCTGCTCCAGAACTTGGGGAGCGGGGGCGGGTCTCGGGGAAGCGCACTTCAGTCTTTCAGGAACCTTCCAGGACCTTGTGGAAGCTTCCAAAGAATATCCTCCTCACTTCGGGCAGGTCAAAGGTGACCTCTTGCAAGGTGGCCCTGGGGTCGTGGTTGAAGTAGGTCAGAGACTTCCTGCCAGCTGCAGGGGAGGGGTGGGAGCACGTGAGACCCCCAGAGGAGAATGGGGCGGCCCCACGGTCGGGCAGCATGCAAACGCACCCCAAGCCTCGGGGGCCCGAGCTGTGGACACAGCTCCTGTGGGAAGCTCCGGCCTCCCGCTGAGCCTGGGGCATCCCTGGCCTGGCCCGGACACAGACCTCCTCAGGACCCACGGACCTGGGCCCACCACCCTCCCTGTGGACTGACCATCCAGCAGGACCCCCAGGATGGGCTGGAAGTCCTCGGCCGTCATCTGCCATAACGCGAAGCTCTCGCGGGGGGTCTCGGGCAGCACACGCAGCAGGAAGACCACCGTGTGCTCTGGTGGGGGGGCAGCCAGCTGGAGGCCACTGTTGGAGCACAGGTGGGGGGTGACTGCAGGCCTGGTTGGAGGTGGGGTCCCGCCACCCCCCAGACCCACGGGACTGCAGGGCGGGGGTCCACGACCAAGCTGGGCCTCTCCTGCCTCCATTCCCCAGTAGTAACATCGGGTATGTGAGGGACAGAAGCGCCCCCAGGCTGGTTCGGGTTCAGCGAGACATGCTCTGTGGCTTGGACCACAGCAAGTGTTCACAGCACTCCTGGGCAGGGTCCTCCAAGACCCCATCCTCCAGGGGCTCTGCGGGGGTGGAAGGGGGCAGGTCATGGGGGCCTGGCAGGAGGGTCTCTGGGCCTGTGTCCTGGGGTCAGGAGCCCACAAGCCCGCAGGTAGCTCTGCCCTCGGGAGTTGCTTCCACGGACCCGAGGTTGCTGGAGTGCTCAGAGTGGGCAGGCGGGGGGGCAGTTTGTGCCAGTGCCCACTGGGGCGTGCTGAAGGGTGGGAAGGGCAGGGACAGGGTGTTAGGTCACCCAATAACATTGTTCCTAAAGGCCTACAGCCTCGCTCTTTGCCCTTTATTTGCTCTTAGGATAACCAAGAGCCCAAAAGACCCAGACCTGCCCATTCCTGTGGTTCTCCAAGCAAACTGACCCCAGGGCCTTGGCCGGGCTGCTCCTTCTTCCTCAGTGCCCTTCCCTTTCCCTATTGTCTCCCTGGTGGCCCTTACTTGTCTGCCACTTCCCTGGGGAGCCTTTCTGACCCCAACACAGGGAGGGACCCCTTCTGCTCTTAGCAACCTAGAACCCCTCTTGTGGCAGCTATGATGGTGGGGGGACACCTGTGCTGGGTGGCCTCGCCTGGGGTGGCTGATCGCATCTGGAGTGGGGGCCACACCAGCAGAACCGTCGACAGCGAGGGCCTGGGAAATTCTGCACTTGCAGAAAAGGGACAAGCATGGCAGAGCCGCCATTGTAGGGCTGCCATCCAGGGAGGGTAGACCTCGGGGCCCCAGACACTCAGAGCAGCCCGCCCCGATAAAGAACCGCAGATTCAAGCTTGGCCGGGAGGAAGGGGTCACCGAGAAAGGGACTGGCTTCAGCCACCCACACGCACAGGGAGACCCGTGACCACCTGTCACGTTAACATAGGAGCAGGCTGGGCTGGGCGGGAGGAAGAGGACCGTGGAGGAGCCATGAGCTCAGACGGGAGCATGGCGGTGGGCAGAGCGGCACCTGCCGTGGCCACGCTCACCCGCGGCACCTGCCACGCCCGTGCTGGGGAGAAAGGCCTGAATCCTAGCAGCTTGTGGGAGTGTTGTGCAATGGTCTGCTTTGTATTTTTCAAACTTCCAGCACAAAGCATATGACGGTGCTGGTAACGTGCAGCATCTTCACTCAACGAAGGGTTATGCAGTGCGTATCACAGTTCCCGTTTGATTCAGGATCTCTCCACAAACAAGGCCGGGCGCTTGTGAGCTGCCGGGAGCCACTCAGCCTTGCTCACGGCGGGTCATGGGGTGGCCCCTGCAGAGCCCCCGGCTGCTTGCAGATTTGCCTGATCCATGCCCACCGGGACGCGGGAGTTCTCAAGGGACACAAGCTTCTGTGCAGAAGTCTGCAAGTCTGATCAATGCTGAGGCCATGCGGGAAAAGGACCCGCACGCGGCCTCGTTCCACCCACGTGAGATTTATTCATCTGTAAAACCCCACCTGCTCAGGGGAGTCCCTGGTCGGCTCTGGGGGCTTGAACCTGCCACAGCCTCCCCAGAGGGGCTGGGGGGACATCACAGGAGGATGTGGCAACCCACCCCTGCTCTGCAGCTGCCCCCTCTGGGGCCCAGTCCACCCCCAGCCCCCTACCTGGCCCGGCGGGTCAGTTGAGCATCCTTGAAGAGCGTGAAGGTCCTGGCACAGCTGAACGCCGCGCGCTCCATGGCAACACCACGGATGGAAGCGTACTCCTTCTCCACCAGGCCGAAGGCCGCCATGAGGTCGAAGCCTGCGTTGCCACGGCAGCAACGAAGGGGTGATCAGAGACTCAGGGTGAGGGAGGGAGCGGGGGGCAGGAGCAGAGAGGAGCCGTACAGGATGCGCAGATGCAAAGACAGTGACCGCGAAGACTGCCGACGGACGCACACTCAGAACCTGCAGGTGGGTGGGGGTCGGGCGCCCGGGGCCCCCCACTGCAGTCCACGGGTGACCCCACACCCAGTAGCAGCCAGGGTGCCCAACAGCCGGCCACACCACCCGCCCCGACTCAGCGGGTTCAAGGCATTTGCATCTCCTCTGTCGTTAGGGGCACCGCCCCCGCTCTGGGCAGATCTCCCACTCACAGGTCAGCCCCATGTTGGGGGGGCGTCCCCGTGTGACCCCCGGCCCTGGCCCCTCACCCAGCTCCCGGTTAGCAGATAGCCTGCAGGAGGCCGTACAGGACCCAGGGCCCCAGCCTCATCTCCGCATGGCCATGTCCCAGCTGTGACCTCGACAGTGATGTGAGAATAAAGGCCCGGCCAGCCTCATGGGGAACCCCCTGCGAAGGTGAGAGTCCTGCCTGACCGCCTCTACCGACCCCGTGACCCTGGTGCCCTGTCACTGCCCCTTCATGGCGGGTGGGGGTCCCAGGCCGCTCCCCCGGGAGGACACGACAGGAGGAGGAGGAGGTACAGGTGGGGGATGGGGAGGGAGCTCAGCTGTCACGCGGCGGGGGGGGGCCTACCTGGGAGGGGGCCATCGGGGCTGAGGGCGGGGCAGGCTGCTGGGAGGCAAAGGGAGTCTGGGTCAGTGGCGAGGGGCCTTGCCTCCACCTGGGGCCCCTCATGGCCAGGTGCCCTGCCCTCAAGTCTACGGTGCCTTGGAGCCACGTCCTCACCCACACACGCTTGCGGGTCTCCAGGCTTGTGGCCCCCGCACCTCAGGGACGGGATGGGGAAGCGGCAGGGATGGTGTCCTGCCCCCCCAGGGACAGTGCCTGGAGGGTTCTCCCACTGGGTGCTGCACCCAACACAGGCCACCCAACGTGTTCCAGGTGGCAGGGCCAGGGAGATGCGTGGCTGTGGGGACATGCAATCCTGGGGCGTGTGCTGACCTGGCCTGGCCATGCAGGCTTACTCCACGGCCAGGTGCACAGGAGGTGCTCTGAAGCTGTGCATGGGCCAGTAAAGGCACCATGGAGTAGGGAGGCCCCCATCCCCAGAGGCATTCAAGTGAAAACTAGATGACCCCGGGGAGGGACACAGAGGGAAGCTGGAGTGGCCAAGCTGAATGGCCTCTGAGGGTCCTCTGCTCTGAGCGTCTGTGATTTTCCAAGAAAACCAGCATACAGCCACAAACAGAATCAGCAGGAACCTCTCTGCTGGGCCCTGGCCTGAGGGTGGCTGTCCCCCAGGGACCACGGATGTCCTGTCCATGAGCTTGGTGCATCAAGGGAGGCCAGCCTGGGCCTCCCTAAGTAATCTCCCTGTGACCCTCGCCTGCCCTGTCTGCGATCTGCATTCGGCTGGCGCAGGACTCCCGCCGGGCTGGACATCTGCCCTGACCTCCTGGATGCAGATATAGGAGAATTACGAGCCCATTCCGCAGCTCTGAGCCCCTGCAGGCAAAGCTCCAGCCAGGAGGCCCCAGTCGCACCAAACTGCACCCGTTTTATTGGACTAATATGGTCTTAACCCTGGGTTTAGTGGTTGCACTGCTCCATGGGGAAGGTTTCAGTGGAAACCCCAATCTCCTTCTGTTAGCTCCACAGGGCTGGGCCTTGTGCCGAGCATGACAGACAGCACATCCTGCTGGCAGGACTCCAGCTGAATAGGCCCCCAGGTTCTAGGCTTCCGGGTGCCTGGCTGGGTCTGCGGTCTGGCTAGGGTCTAGCTCGGTGTGAGGGTCTGGGGTCCAGCTGGGGTCTGCCTGGGAATGAGGGTCTGGGGGCCTGGCTGGGGTCCATATGGGTGTGACTCTCTGGGGTCTGGCTGGGAGTAAGGGTCTGGGGTCTGGCTGGGGTTTGGATGGGTGTGAGGGTCTGGGGGTCTGGCTGGGGTCTGCCTGGCAGTAAGGGTCTGGGAGTCCAGGTGGGGTCTGGCTGGGTGTGAGGGTCTGGGATCTGGCTGGATGTGAGGGTCTGGGGTCTGGCTGGGTCTGGCGGTCTTGGTGCCCACTCACCCGTCCGGCCTGTGGCAGACACTGGCATACTCTCCCCTGCTCCATAGACTGCTGAGACCAGGACCCTGTATTTGGTGGCTGCCAGCAGGTCGGGGAGTGTCACGTGGCTCCTGGATCCTGGGACAGAGATCTGGGAGGGAGGACACAGTCACCTAAGCCTCCCTCCCCTCTGAGCATCTTTGCTCATTTGGGCATCTCTGCTCTCATTTGTTTGTGCCCTGCCAGGGAAGACCTGCCCCCCTCAGCAGACAGGGTAGGCCGTGCCTCCCCCACTGCGCCCGGGACCTAGGGGCCCATGAGGGGCATGGCCTCCCTGCTCCACCAAGACCCACCGACTTCTCGGGTCCCGAGCCCGAGGCCAGCACGTAGGTGAGCCGGTAGCGGAGGACGTGGCCACTTGGGGGGGTCCAGCTGACCCGCAGGCTGCTGGGTGACTCGGAAGCCAGGGCCAGGTTGGAGGGTGGGCTCCGGCGTGCTGTGAGGCAGGCAGCACCTGGGAGCTCAGAGAGGGTGGCCAGCACGACCTCCCACCGCGTCCTGCGGCCCCTAGCCTCGGCACGGACAGGACCACCGGCACAGGTCAGCCCCAGGAGACCCTAGAGGATAGCCGGTGGCGTGAAACCTCGGTCCCCCCTGGGAACACCTGCCAGGAGGGTTCGGGGAGAGCCTGCTGACCCAGCGGTCAGGCCATAGGGCCAGGGACTCAGGGAGCTGTCTATGGCTCTGGAGTCCCTCTGGGCTGTTCCTGCTCCTCACGCAGCTAAGGGGCAGAGCATGGGTCACCTACCAGGGGTGTAGCGGAGGGACACTGGGTCGCTGCGGGCCCCGTCCCTGTAGTAGGCCAGGATGGTGATCTCATACTCCAAGTGGCGTTGGAGGCCAGGCAGGACCGCCACACCCAGGTTCCCTGGGACAGAGATCTGCAGAGGAAAGGGACAGGGGTGCACCCTCCAGACAGGTGTCCTCATGCGGGCCCCGCCTACAGGCCATGGGGAGGCTGGTGCCCCTGGATGAAGGTCCAGGGTCTCAGCTCTCCCGGAGCTGGGGGGCAGGAGGGTGGTCTTCCTCTCCCCACGCCACACCTCATGGGCCTTCCCGTCTCCCAGGGGGGTCCACTTGATCTGGTAGACGAGCACTCCAGAAGCCGCGGCAGCTGCCCACTCCAGCTGGACCTCGTCCCCAGGGAGCTCTGTCACCGAGAGCTGGCTCGGGCTGGGGACCTTCCCTGGAGACAGAGCAGGGACACTGAGGTTGGGGCGGCAGGGCCTGGACAAGCAACAGCCCTGAGGAGGTGGCCGCTGCGCCCCACTGGGGCTCATAGGGGGCCCCACATGCCCCCGCCCTGGGTGACTCGCCAGAGACCTGCCCCCATGCACGTGAAGGAGGTTTCACTGTTGTGGGACCACACATGGGGATGGCTGCCCGTGGCGGGGCAGAGGGGACCCCAGACCCCACACAAAAGCCATACCCATTCCTCCCCTTTCCCAGCACCCGGCTGCAGGCTGGGCACAGGCCCTGCTTCTTGAGGTGCCCCGGGTCACGCCCTCCAGGGCCCCATGCCCCACATCACATGTGTCCAGGTATATGTGAACCCACCTAGCTCAGCACTGCGCATGGCAGCACCTAGGCCGATGTGTTTAGCTTGAACTATCCATCGGGGGAGGGATGAAGCCAGCCTGGGGACCCCACCCGAACCTCAGCCACTCACGTGTGGTCAGGCGGCCGGTCAGTGTAGAGGAACCGCCCGCAGGGTAGAGGCAGGTGAGGCGGACAGAATACGTGGTGGAAGAGGAGAGAGGGCCCAGAGTGGCTGAGCTGGCATTCCCAGGGGCCTCCACCTGCAAGGCAGACAGGCCACATGGGTGCAGGCCTGGAGCCACTCCCCAGGCCAGGGAGGGGTCAGCCGCTGGCAGGAAGGAGACCCCGGCCCGGGAGGTACACTGGAGGGGGTACCCACCACACGTGTGGGGCCTCCTGGGCCCTCGCCCACCCCCACCCCCTCTCTCAAAGAGCCTGGCTCACAATCCCCCGTACCCCTGCACCCCGCATCACAGATGTCATTTCTGTGTATTCGTCTGATTCCTAGCTTCACACCTGTCCCTTCCCTGCCCCTGCAGACTGGGGCCCCCAAAGGCCCGGATGGAGTTGGCTCCACAGCAGGCCAAAGCTGGTGCCTGGGGGCTCCGCCAGCACCCAACAACTGTGAATGAAGCGTGTGGGGGGGGCTGGGGGTACTGGCCCCCTGTGTTCACCTCGTCCCCGCTGGACCCCAGGTCCCCCAGTGGCCCCCAGGCACTCTCACCTGCCCGGAGTGGCTGCCCTCACTGGAGACAAAGCTGACCCTGAACAGGCGCACGGGCCTCGGGATGCCCTCCCAGAACACACGGACTGAGTCGTGACTCACATCCGAGAAGCCGAGGTGTCTGGGGGGCACCAGGGTGGCTGTGGAACACATCGTAGCCTCAGGGACCAGCCAGCACCCTCTCCCCAACTGGTTAGGGGCCACTAGAGGGGCCTGGGGTCCCCCACCTGGTGGAAGGCTGAGAGGAGCCAGAGCAGGGCATTTGCCCTGGGGGCAGCAGCCTGTGGGGCGGGGCACTCACCAGTCCTGGCACGGATGCCCCGGGCCTCGCTGGCCTCTGTCCCTTGCAAGCTCTGCACCCAGACATCATAGTCTGTGCCAGGCTCCAGGCCGTCCAGCAGTACCTCTGGCTGTCCCACCCGCACCTGCAGGGGCGTGGCACTCGTGCTGGCCCCTGCCCACCCCATCTGCCTCCCGGATCACCCTCCTCTGCCTCCCCTCCCAACTGGCCTCGAACCTCTCTGCCCTCCTCCTGGCCCGGGGGGAAGGCCGGCGAGCATCGCACCAGGTACTGTGTGGCCCCAGCCGAGGGCCGCCAGGCCAGGCGGATGGTTCTGGGGGTCACGGCAGCCAGGGTCAGGGCCTGGGGCGCAGGCAGAGGCACTGGAGGAGGGGGGACACTTTAGGAATGCAGCACCTTGCAGAGACTGTGCACACACACCAGGGGGGCCTTGCTCAAATGATAAAGGGCCCAGGTAAGTGCAGACCCTGCGGTGGGTCTCAGTGGAGACAGAGGTGGGAGGCTGGGGGATGCCCACAAGCCAGTCTGACCCAGCCAGACTTCATTTTGGGCTGGGTTTCCAGCTGACAGCTCTGGGGGAACACAGCCACCTGTGGGTTTCTGTTTAAGGCTACCTGCCCTGAGTGTGGGGGTGCCATGTCCCCAGGTTAGAAACCCCACAGGAAGCCACATATCGTGTGGCCCAGAAATGGCAAATCCATGCAGACAGACACAGACTGGGGATTGACAGGGTCTGGGGGGCTGGGGGCAGCAGCTCGGGGGTGCAGAGTTTCTCTCCCGGTGAGGACGATACTTGACAGTCGACTGTGGAGACACCCGGGGACTAGACTGACTGCTGAGTCTCACACTAACGGATGAGTTGCACAACGTGGCGATTATGTCTTAAGAAAGCTCTTGAAGGGGCTCATGGCAGGCCAGAGAGGGCGAGAGCTCCACAAAGGCTTGAGAAGCTCAGAAGAGGACACCAAGGGTCACAGAGGCCCACAGCAGGTGGGCTGAGACCAGGCCAGCCTTGGCACCACCCCTGCTGGCGGGAGGCTCCAAGGAGGCTACAGATAGGGTAGCCCTGAGCCCCGGCCTGGCTCCACCCCACCCACCTGTGGTCACAAGGCCCCGCAGGCCCTGGCCGACCCCGGCCTTGCCGACAGGGAACACAGACACCAAGTACTCGGTGCCGGCCGTCAGGCTGTGAAGCTCCGCGGACGAGGTGGGCCCCTCCACCACCACCTAGAACATGAGCCACAGCAGAGCCCGTGGGGTGGGCGCAGGGGTGGGGAGTGCAGGGGTGCGGGGCGGCTGCAGGGGTGCAGGGGTTGTGGGGCACAGGGGGTGCGGGGCACAGGGGTGGGGAGTGCAGGGGTGAGGGGTGCGGGGTGCAGGGGTGCGGGGCACAGGTGCAGGGGGTGCAGGGTGCAGGGGTGCGGGGCAGGGACAGGATCAGCTCTGCTGGGGCTGAGGTCAGTCCTCGCCTCCCACAGTGACCTTGGCCACCAAGCAGCCATGGGAGGCGGGAGCAGCACACACACTCCACCTCTCCCCTCGGCTTGTGGGCCGCGGCCTGTCTGCTAGGCCACCCACCACTGTGCCCTTCTTCCTCCATGACGGCATGTCAGGTGCAGCCCTGACTCACCTCCCGCGGGGTGCCACCCCTGGAAGGCCGCCACGTGATCAGATACTTGAGCGGCAGCTGGGGGGCTGGGGTCCAGGACAGGTGGATGCTGGAAGAGGTCACCGGGGTCAAGACCAGGCTGCTGGGAGTGCAGGCGGTATCTGGGGCCGGGGTGCCGGCGGCCGGTGTAACTGGGTGCAAAGGAGGATGGTCAGGGGCCCAGCAGGCAGCCTGCTTTAGAGGCTCTACCTACTCTCCCCGGCGGCCACTTCCAGAAGGGACAGGTGTCCCCCAGGCTGCAGACACCCTCAGAGACCTGAGAGCCAAGGGGGGTGGGGTTCAGGGCGTCCCATCCAGGGGCCACAAGCACCCCCTCCCTTTGCCCAGAGTGGCCGGGCAGGGCCGCAGCCAGCAAGGGTGACCCTGCTCACCGGGGCCCCGGCTCCCGCCCTGCACCTTCTGGCAGATGAGGCGGCTGAGCAAGCCGGCCAAGGTGCCGAGCTGCGGGAAGTCCTGCACGTTGTGGACGGTGATGTCCAGCGGCGGGGACGCCAGGAGCTGCAGCTCAGCCTCATCTGCGTTCTTCACGCCTGCTCACAGGGGAGGGTCTGAGGACGCACCTGACCCCACCCACCCAGCACTGTTGTCCCATCCTATACGCACGACCACAGGTCCCCGGCCTGAGTTACCCAGCGGTCTGCAGGGGCCTTCCCAAGCCCTGTACCCAAGATCCCATGGGCCCCGGAACTGCATCACCTGACAGGGCCCCCGAGAGACGGCGGCTGGGCGCTGGTACAGGAGGGCTGGGCTCCCAAAGGCCCTTGCAGGCTGTGCGGGGCCTGCCTGGGTCTCTATGGAGTTTGGGGCCGGGGGGAGGCCAGTGTGCTTTCCTCAGAGTCCCACACACCCCCAGACCTACTCGTGAATCCAGGGCCTGGGATAAACCATGATACAATGGGATCTGAGCACCAAGGAGGTACTCTGCCCCCAGGAGCCCCCAAATCTGCAGTTCCTTCCCAAGGGGACAGAGATAAGAAGTGACTGGTGAAGTGAGCAGAACGAGATCACGGGGGCGCCAGGCGCCTGTGACACCGTGCGTGGGGCACATGCAGAGGGGAACATCCACACATGGCACTGAGAACTCAGGGCTTTGCTTGGGAACCCCACATCGTGTCCGCCCTCTGAACGCCCATGGGTGCTCAGGTCCTCGGAGCAGGGACGGGTCCTCCCTGTGGCACAGACACCACAGGACCCCCAGCCCCGGGGCAAAGAAGTGGGAGTGCAAACTGCCCCCCATGCTGTGAGAACCCCAGCCGAGGGCCGGGGGCTGCTCACCCACAGCAAAGACGGCAACACCCAGGTCCTTGAGGACGCGGCCAGCAGCACGGGCATCGTCCTGGGATTTGCCGTCCGTCACTAGGATCACCACCTTGGCCGCCTCTGGACGGGTCCCCGCTCCGGGCTTCAGGTTCTGCTCCCACACGTGAGTCAGGGCCAGGCCTTGGGCAATCAAGAATCAAGGGCGTGTGGCCCCATGCGCCCCTCCCGGTGCCCTCCCTGCCCAGATGCCACTCCACCGGCCGGGCCCCAGCTCGGGGCCCACTGAGTCAGTCCCGGCCCCGCAAGGCTGGGGGCTCCAGAGTCAGGGACCACCACAAGACTCGGGGCTCTGCCTGTGGGAGATGCTCCTTGGGGGCTGCTTCCACTTGCGGCCCTTCCCGGAAGCTTCTACCCAACGGAGGAGCCACTCCCTTCTAGCAAGACAGCCTGACGGAAAGCCCTGTTTTCATCAAAGGTAATTAAGGGGCGACCTGCTCTTTACGAAGGTGTGAATCAGGCTCAGCGCCCACATCACACTCGGCTTGATTTACATATGAGTTCTCAAGTCTGGGAGTCTGACCTGTGGGATGGAGCCGGGGGCTTTGGGACAGAGACCTGGACAAAACCCCCAAGGGTGGGATCGCTGGGGGCCCAGGCACACCTGTGAACGTGTTTCCCCCTCTGTAGCGGAGGCTGTGGACAGCTGTCACCACCTCCTCCTTGGTGCGGAAGGCGCTGAGGTCCCACTCGGTCTGGGGGTCTCCACTGTACTGAGTCAGGCCTGGGACGGGGGCAGGTGCTGGGTGCTGAGCTGCCCACCCCACACACAGCCTCACTGGGACACCAGGGTGGGCACATGTTTGCACACGGACAGTCACCAGAACATCCCCCAGCCCCTGTGGGAGCCCCCACCTGCCCGGCTGGGCAGGGAGTCAGTGTGTTGGCGGCCGGTGACACCAATCGGCAGGACTGTCCTTCGGTTTCCCCAGGAGGCTCCGTGCCTCCTCCCTGACTTGCCGTTTCTCAGAGTTGGGCCTCCCATGGGTGCTGGTAGGACTAGTGGGGACGCCTGGGGACAGGGCCGCAGGGCAGGGGCCTGGTACCCACCGACTTGGACTTTATTTGGCCCGATTTCAAAGGGCTCGATGACGCTGGCCAGGAAATCTTTGACCTGCTGGAAATGACCGTGGCCAATACTCCAGGACCCGTCCACCAGGAAGATCATGTCCACGGGTGTGGGGGGTGTGCAGCGGAACTGGGGGCTAGCTGGGTGGGGAGGGAGGGAGGTGAGGAGCTGGGCCAGGCCCACACCACTACAGGAAGCCCCCCAACCGCTTCAGGCTAGGCTCCAAACCCCTGGGTCTCCTTCCCTGGGGTTGGTGGAGGGTGAGGGGCCACGGGGCTCTGGCCTCAAGTGTGGCAGGTGGCCACGTCTTGGGGGCCCCCACTGGACTCAGAAAACCCCATGTGAGCCTTGGTTCATCATGTCAGCCTTCTGAATGCCCCCAGGGAAGGTTAATGAGACTCCCAGCTGCTTCTCCCCTCCAGTGACCTCGGCAGGGCCAGTCCCTGTGTGTGGTTGTCAATGTGGGGGCCAGTGGGCAGAGGTTAGCCAAGGGGGTATTGACTGGGGGGGCGGTCAGCATGGTTGGCAGCTCTGGGCTGAGGCCTCACTGGCTGGGGTGGTGGCTTGTCCTGATGACCTAGGAGCTCTTTAGACACAAAGCCACTGCCTGGGTCTGGGGCTCCCCGAGAGTCTATACTGTCAGTGCCTCCGGGCCGAGTCCCAGACCCAGGACAGGCCCCTCATGAGGACTCCTGGGTAGCGTGAGTGCAAGGAGACCCCCATCTAATGGGGGGCACAGCCCTGCCCTCAAAGCCTTGTGTTGCTGGGGAGACCATCCTGGCAGACCCCAAGTCCAATGGGGGACAGTGAGGGCGAGAGAGGGGATGTGTCCCTCTGAGGAGAGAGATACCTCTTTCCATCCCAAGTGTGATTGATGGGGAGACAAAGTCAGAGACATCCGGGTCTGGGGGAGGAGGCACGGCCGATAGAAATGTCACACCTGTCTGCCCTGCCCTGGGTCATGCAGCCCCCACCCTGAAAGCCCACAGAGGCTGGTGCCCTCGTGGTTTTACCCAACTTCTCTGTTGTTCCCGCAGAGCCTTGCGCCTGGCTCTGCCTCTCCAGGTTTACGGTGGGCTGAGAAATGGCCTTGTCCCCCGAGCCCCTGGGTGGGCGCTGCTCCACGCCAAGCAGTCCTGTGGGGGTCACAGTTGTGTCACCTCTCACCTGCCACACTCAGGCTGGGCAGCAAGGGGCACTGGGGCCCAAGCACACCCCCAGCGGGGGACCTGTCCCCGTGAGCCTAGGTGAATGCAGGAGAGCGGCTGGCATGCTCAAGGAGAAGCTGGAGTGTGAGGTCAGATGTGAGGAAGAGCATCCCGGCCGCATGGAGAGCAAACCTTGGAAGGTGACCTACCCTCACCCGACTCTGCACCACCAGGAGTGGGCGGGTCTTGGCTTGGGGACAAGGCAACTCGGGGCTCAGGGTCTGGGCTCCCCACGTGGGAGGGCATGGGCTCCACGGCTGCCTCCAGCGGCATCTGGCTGCTCCTGCTCACAGAGTTACTCTTCAAATCCTCAACTGCAGAGAGACGTGAGGGGCTGTCAGGGTCCCCCACCCCCGCATGGGAGCAGGGCCTGGGGGCTGCGTGGGGAAGGGGGCCACAGCTCCTTTCCACACACACACACACTCTGAGGCTGGGTTCCTTGTGCAGGATTATGGACTTACTCACAAACTCCCGCTGTGCCAGCAGGGCATTCCCTGAGCTGGTGAGCTCGAAGATCTGCACGGTGTAGCCCTTGGAGGGGCTCAAGCCCCCCACCGTGGCCTTGGGGGTCTTGGTAGTCAACATCACCTCCTGTTCCGTGTCCCCTGAGGTGGGGGTGGGGAGAGAGATTGAGGCCACCAAGGTGGGCAGGTGTGTGTCTATGCACATGTGTGTGTGCATGCATGTCACAGAGTGGGTAAATACTCTCGACCTCTAAAATTTAAAAAGATTACCCAAAACTGCTAGTTCAAATTGCCTCTGTCAGAAACAAACACAATTTTTTTCTGAAGTCAGACAATGTCACATAAGGTCATAAATTATTTCCGTAAGTTTTCACAACAGCTGGCACTCAATGAAGGGCAACCAGGTGTACAAGGAACAAGAGGAAGTGACAGAAAGTTAAGAGAAACAGCAGACAATAGGAAGAGACCCACAGATTTTCCAGACAATGGAGTCAAGGGGCTTTAAGTTAATTATACTAACTAGTCTGAAGACTTAGAGATAAGCCTATGAATTTGGGTATCAAACTAGAAACAATAAAAAGGAAATTCGAGAATGTAAAAACCAAATGGACATTTTCCAAATGGAAATTCTGGAATGGAAAAACAAAAAACTGAAGTTAGGAATTCAAAGAATGACTTAACAACTTCTTACACATGAATGAAGAGATAAATAGTGGAATACAGGTCAGGATAGAAAACACAGAATTAAGAATGGAGAAATAGGATGCCTGGGTGGCTCAGTGAGTTAAGCATCTGCCTTCAGCTCAGGTCATGATTGCAGGGTCTTGGGATCGAGTCCCGCATTGGGCTCCCTGCTCCACAGGGAGCCTGCTTCTCCCTCTGCCACTCCCCCTGTTTGTGTGCTCTCTCTCCCTCTCTCATTAATAAATAAAATCTTCAAAAAAAATGGAGAAAGAAAGGAATTAAAAATATAGAAGAAAGAGTCAGAGGCACTGGAACAGGGAGAGGGTCCACATGTGTGTAAGTAGAGTCCCATGAAGAGAAGAGAGAGGAAACAGGGTACAACCCATATTTGAGGAGACATGGCTAAAGAATTTTCCAAAACTGCAAGAGAGTAAGATGCAGACTCAAGAAGCACATGAGTCTGAAGTGAGATAAAAAGAGGTGAACACCGAGAATATCAGACTAAATGTGCTAAGAACAAAACAGAAGGAAGCATCATAGAGCAGTCAAGAGGAGACAGAGCAGCTCATGGCTCATGGAGCAACAACTGGGTTGGTGGCTGAATTCTCAAGAAAAACAACAGAAGCCAGATGACAGTAAAAAGATTTTTCAAAGTGCTGAAAGCAAGTGCCAACTCAAGATTCTATACCCAGAAACAGCATCTTTCAAGAATGAAGAATGAAGACATTTTCAGACAAACAAAAAAACAAAATGCCAGAGAACTGGCATCCAGCAGACCCAGACTACAGGAAGCATTATTTTCAGGCAGGAAAAAAAAATCCCAGATTAAGAGACTCTGGAAGAAATAAAGATAAAGGGTGAATATGTGAGTTGGTCTAAATTAATATTGAATCAATATAACTAAAATAATTAAGATGTGTCTTGAGATTTAATGAAGATATAGAATCAGCATGCATGGAAAGGAGATAAATGCAACTGTGATGATTGGAAGCCTTGTCTCTACCTGGGGAAGGTGATACAGCTGCTGTGTATCTGACCTGCTGACAATGTCCAGGGTGATCACTACATGAGTGATGGAACCATAACTACCAGGCTGACGGAGACATGGAATAAAAAGTGTTCAATCATCTCATACCTACTCGTAAGACCTCACTTCTCAAAAAAGGAGACACCACACATTGTGTACCTCCATTTGTGGCACAACAGAAATTGCACAATCACTTATAAAGAAGTCTTGTCAACAAAATATAACCAGACTGGAATCTGACCAACTTCTGGGGTGGAAGTGCCAATCTACAGGAGGTACAAGGAGAGAAGAATGATCTACATGGCACCATGGTGATGCCATCAGCAAAACACAGAATGTCAGATGTTCCACAAGACCAGCAATCTTCTTCCTTCAACAAACAAACGTCAAATAAAAGGGGAGAGACAAAACTATTTTAAATTGAAGATAACTGGGATGCCTGGGTGGCTCAGTCAGTGAAGTGTCTGCCTTCAGCTCAGGTCATGATCCCAGGGTCCTGGGATTGAGTCCCACATTGGGCTCCTTGCTCAGTGGGGAGCCTGCTTCTCTCTCTGCCTCTGCTGCTCCGCCTGTTCATGCTCTCTCTCTCTCTCAAATAAATGAAATCTTAAAAAAATAAATTGAAGATTACTTGAGACCTAGGAACCACATAAAGTGTGTGGATTCTGTTGGGATCTCAATTCAAAGAAATTAAGTGTAAAAAATATTTATCAGACAAGTTGGAAGATGAGAACACAACAAAATATTTACTAGTAGCTCTGAAATATTTTCACTTTTTAGGCATGCTAGTTGTACTGGAGTTATTTCTGAGTCCTTCCCTTTAGAGAAAACTACTAAAATATTTATAGACAGAATTATATGATTATATGATGTCTTGGATTTGCTTTAAAATAATGCACTATATAAAAGGGGTTGGAGGCAGAGATCACACAATAGTGGCCATATGTTGATAACTGTCAAAGCTACATCATGGGAACATGAAGCTTCATTACACTATGGTCTCTTCTTTTGCAGGTGTTTAAATTTTTCCATAAAAATTGAGTTTCAAAGAGGATAAGGAGAGAAAAAAATATATATATATAACAAGTATAAGAAAAAGAAAACAAATAGGAAAATGAGAGATTTAAATCCAAATATGTCAGTAATTTCATTAAATGTAAATGGAAAAAATGTTTCTATTAAAAGGCAAGGATTGTCACATTGGACAGGAACACCACGGATCATGTGCTCCTTGGAAGGTGCACCTATGGTGACAGGTGAGAAGATGCTGAGTAGACGATGTCATACAGGCACCACCCAGCGGAGCCAGCAGCCCGACGATGTCATGCAGGCACCACCCAGCGGAGCCAGCAGCCCTGGCCGCAGAGTGGGCGTAAGGGAAAGCTGACGAGAGAGAACGGGAGCACTGCACGGCCAGGCTTCTGTCCAGTAGGAAGATGGAAAGATCCTAGACTTGCATGACCCTGAAACACGGCCTCAACATACAAAGCAAAGTTTGGTGAGACAAGCAGAGGAAGACATTTCCAGCACAGGTGGGGATTTAAGATGTTTCTCTTGGTGACTAATAAGATAAGTAGACCAAAAAAATGAACGGAAATAGAAAAGATCTGAAAAATAGGATAAGTAAATTTGGCTTAATCAGAATATCAGAAAACTGCCCCCAAGTCAGAAAGGGGGTTATTCTTGGGGGCAGAGACAGGATGGCGATGGGAAAGGGGCCTGAGCGGGGCTGGAGGTGCACCTTTCCGCTTTGGGAGGGGAGCTCAGGCTCATTGGCTTTCTGCCAATTTCTGTAACTACACACTTCTGTTTGCCGGCTTTTCTGTGGGTGTCAAACCTCAATTTTTGAAAAGTTTTCTTTTTCTTTTTATTTGGGGCGGGGGAACAGCAGAAGGAGAAGGAGAGAATCTCAAGCAGACTCCATGCCCAGTGGAGCCTGATGTGGGGCTTGAACTCCTGACCCTGAGATCACGACCTGAGCCAAAATCGAGCTGGATGCTTAGCCAACTGAGTGACCCAGACGCCCCAATTGCTGAAAACTTTTTAAGATGAGCAGCCAGCATCACGCTGGGGGTGCTCGTGGCCTCCCTCCTGTAAAATGTGAGTTAATCCTGCCCGTCAGATGCCAGCTCACTGGCGTGCAGAATTCTGAAAGGGATCCAAGCTCGAGAAGGGAGTTCTTGTTTCTTCTAAGACACTGACAGCGCCGTTGCCACGAGCTAGATGTGGGGATGGGCCTTCATAGGCCTTATTCTCCTGCTCCCACTCCTGCAGTACTTCCCCCCACTCACAACATGGGTGCTGGGATGGAGGAGCTGGGCACAGACCAGCACGCCGGCCGCCAGCCCCGCCAGTCACACAGGCCCCTTACCTGCCCTGGGCTTCACCTGTACCAGGTAGCCGAGGTTGCCCCCTCCTGACTCCCTCCACTTCATCTGCAGCTGGTCCTCGGGCAGCACAGCCAGCCTCAGGCGGCTGCTCACTGGGGAGACACGACCGGGTGGTCAGGACTGACCCCCGGACAACACCCAGCAGCTGTGGGGGCCCAGCAGGGGAACATGGGAGAACCTAAGGCCCCATCTGGGGCTGAAGGAGGACCGGGCCCTCCAAGGGTCCCAGGGGCCAGGGCCACCTGGTAGGTCCAGTGAGGAGACTGCCCCCACCCAGGGAGGCCTGCCCGGCTCTGCGAGGGGTGCCCCCCGCCCTGCCAACTGGGGCCCAGGCCAGCATCCAGGATCAGTAGGAGCAGCCCCACTGGCAACCAGCAGCGTGGAGCCCACATGGCCCCTGCCCCGGGGCCTGGAGCCGCCTCATTTCCCCAGCAGCGTCCACACAGCCCTGTGGGGTCCGTGGCCATCCTGGGAGGAAGAGAAGGGGCAGTGGAGGACTGAGGCCTGGCCTCCCGGGGAAGCTTCCGGGAGCTCCGTGGCAGGGGTGGCTATTTTTGGAAAAGGGGGACAGAGATGGGCTTCTTCTGGCTGCCCCATGAGAGCTGGGGCACAGGAGAAGGGCAGGGGTGGGGGGCGCCCAGGGCAGACACAATGAGCAACGGCTCACAGGGAGAAGCAGCTGAACTGGGCGTCCGGATGTGCCCAGCGGCTCCCGGGAGCACCAGGCTGAAAGGCAAGAATGTCTGATGGGGGAGCTATGAAAAGCCATTTGTGAGCGCGACCCCCCCAACTCCTGCTCATGAAGGGCCCTCTGTGTCTCGCGGTGCCTCTGACATGTTGGGGGAGACATTCCCAGCTGCCTTTGGGATCTGCATGTCAGGGGGCCTTGGTGGGGCATGGGGCAGACAGTGGGGGGACCTGCCGGTGGGAAAACCCCCAGGAGCGCCCCCTCACCAGGGTCACCCCCGGAGCAGGCAGCCTGGACATGCGGGCCCACACCCACCCTGCCCTCCTCGGGACCGGGAGACCCAGGTCTGCTCAGAGTCTGCAGGGACCCTCCCGAATGCGGAGCTCAGTGTGTCCGTGGACTCACTAGTGACTGGGCTCCACTGAGGCGTGATCCTGTCAGGGCCACAGGGACCCAGGGACACGCCTGATGACTGCGGCCAGTCTGCATGACAAACCAGCACTGAGGAAGAGTGCTCAGCAGACCCGTGCCTCCCTCCACACGAGGTGTGGCCACGTGGCATGCCCCTCCACCGTGCACGCGTTCTCAACAGAGACTGAGTCAAACACAGCGAGACTCGGGCAGTCGCCCAGGAGGGGCAGTTTCAAACAGTGAGGAGGCAGGTCTCCTGCCCTCACAGGACTTGCCGGGAGCCCCCGGGTCGGCAGCCGCAGACTGGCCTTCCCAGAATCAGTCCAAGCCGGCCCCCCTCGCAGGGAGCTTGGCAAGGACGTCCACCACGTTCCGCACTGTGTCCCTTCTGGGGTATTTCAAAGACACGGAGATGAGTGTCATTCCCAAAGGGAAGCGATCAGACTGGGTCACAAGACGCCGCTGGGCAGCCTTGTGTTCTCCCTGTGCCTGAAAGTGAGCAGGGAAAGGGCCAGAAGCAGGAGCAGAAGGCAGCGAACAGTGCTCTCCTTGGGGGGACAGGAGGGAAAGGGGGTTTCCCTCCTTACTCTAGACTTGTGCTGTTTGGAAGTTTTACACTGTAGAGGTGTCCTGAAATAATTCAAAATAAAGCATGAATGTAAGACAGAGCTCAGGGCCAAGTGTGTCAATAATTGTCAGAAAGCACACAACAGCATCCCCGCGCTGGGCTGACAGCAAGGCCGAAGGTCCCGCAAAAAGCCGCGGGTGGTACTTTGGGCAGAGGACACAGGTGGCCTCTGGTGTCCTGTCTTTCCTCCTCAAGCATGCCTTCAACTCGAACAACAGCTCCTGGTGGAGTGTCAGGAGCGGAGGCAGAGGCCCCTCCTGAGTGGGTGGGGGGTGGGGTTGGGCACGGACTGGCGCCACATTCCTAGGAAGCACCCCCCCGTGTCCTTACCTTGTCCCGGACCGAGTCCCGGGGCAACACCCAGCCACAGCCAGAGCCAGAGCCCGAGGAGGGGGCACACGGGGGCGCTCATGGTGCACCGCCTGTGGGAAGAGAGGCCGTCCGTCCATCCGTCCATCCGACCACTCCTGAGCTTCTCCACCCACACCGGGCACCCCACATGCAGTGACCCCGTAGCTGCTCCATGCCCTGTCTACAGTGGACCTGTGTCCTGCAAGGCGGGGCAGGTGCTTCTCTGGGTGAGAGGTCAGCTGCCCTTCCCCTGCCCGCCCCCGGGTGTGTCTGGCCCAGCCACAGCCTCTGGTCCTGCATCCTGCCCTCAGGACATTCTCACAGGCCAGCACAGGGCCCTGACTGCTGGCCTGGTCACTCACTCATCATTAGAACAGACTGGGACAGCTGCTGCCGGGGCCAAGGGGCCTGGGGAGGGAACGAAGCCAGGAAGGGGCAAACCCTGTCTGCAGCCAAGGGGCGTCAGAGCTGGGGCCAGTCTGAGCACAACCCCTGGGGGGCCACGCAGCTGCCCTCTGCCAGACCCAGGAGGGTGTGTCCTGGTTAAGGACTGGCCCCAGTCAGCCTCTCAGCAGGGCTGAGAGGTCCTTGGAAGTAGGGTTGGGGTCCTAAGGGAGCCCTCTGGGGTCACCCGTCCATCCCCAAGCGGCACACAGCCCGGGGGGGCTGCCTCTGCGGACAGTGCGGAAGGGACACACAGCACAGCACCTCGGGACCCCAGCCACCCCCAGGGAGGTGGTGGCCAGCCCCGCGGTGCAGAGCTGCTGAGCTCGCCAGCGTCCTCGGGGCTGGAGGGCAGTGCAGGGGCTCTGGACCTTCCAGGCCCCCAGAGTCCCCCCTGATCCACATTCTGAAGCCAGACTCCTTCGCTCCCCAGAAACAGTCATGGCTGTGAACCAGAACCCTCTGCACAGTCTGCCCTCAATGCCCCAGGCCTCTTTGAAAAGGCAAGATCCCTCCTCTGATCACAGACCTGGGCAGACCCCTGGTGGCCCTCCCCAGCCCCCCAGCCCCCCAGCCCCCCAAGACCAGAGGCGAGTCACTAACCTGGATGAGGGTGGCGTCCCTGGGTCCCCACTCACCCCACTCTGGTCCTGCCGCAGCCCCGAGAGGCGAGGGCTTATGAAGGTCCCTATCCCTCTAACGTCACTGCCTCAGCCCACCCCCTGGCCCACCCCTGGCTTCCTCCCCTCCCCAGGCTCTCCCCCCTTCCCAGCTACAGCCCAAGAGTGGGGGCAGAGAGTCCCAGCATGAAGGACCCCGTCGCCGCAGGGCAGGGATCCCGCGGCACCAAACACCTTTATCCCTCACTCCTCTGGGTTGGCCCCAAAGCGGGGATCACGGGACAGGCATCTCAGGGACCACGGACATCACGCGTGGACGGATGATGGGCTGGGTGCCTCTGGTGGCCGGGGGTGGGGGGGCACATCACTTCCTCCCGACTCCTCCAGCGTCAGCCCAGGCCCACTCTGGCCCCCGCCTGGAAGCCTCCCCTGCACTCCTGGCTTCTCCTCGGCCCTCCCGGGTCTGAAGGGCCAGCCAAGCATGGCCCCTCCCAGCCAGTGGGACAGCCCCAGGCCCAGAACCCCAGGCCTGCTGCCTGGGTGGGTACACTGACCACACCAGACCCCGTTCCAGCCCCACCCCTGGACCTACCTGACCCGGGACCACCCACCCCAGGCAGCTGAGGGGTGAGGGGAGCTGACAACCAGGAGCCCAGCAGGGCTGGCGTCCCACGCGGGGTCCAGCTTCCAGAGACAAGAGGCACTTTGGGGGGAGGTGTAGCACGGGGCTCTTGGGCTGGGAGAAGCCGACAGTCTGAGACATGGTATTCGCTGCAGGCTGGCAGCATTCGGTGGGCAAAGATGCTGCTGGGGGAGGGGAGTCCTTGCCCGACTCCCAGGGGGGCTCAGCCCCTCCCCGCACTCTCGGCCACAGGGAGGACACTGCTTTGCCCCTGCCGATCCACCAGCCCCAAACCTGGGAACAGGGCTGGGGGTGGCGGCACACGGTCCCAAGCCTGGGCCAGGACACCAAGGTGGCTTGGATCCAGGTGCCCGAGTGCCCCTCTGGCTCCCCCCACCCCACCCCCGGCCTGACCGCTTTGTGAGCCCAGCTTCCCTCCTGGGGCTGGGAAGGGCCTCAGGCCGTAGGCCAGATGGAGCTCTTTGACTTGCCATAGCCCGGAGCCGCCTGAGCCTGAGGACCCACGGCTGGACACCAGGACACCAGGACACCAGGGCTGATGGACGCCGTGCCCAGGGTGCTGGGCACCTGCCCAGTCCTGGGACCCACACGCCTGAGTGCGGACCAGCAGAGAGCGCTGGGCACAGCAACCACAGGCAATCATGCCCTGGACAGTGTCCAGGCGTGGCTCGTGGGCGCTCGGGACACACATACGCACTCACACGCACCCCACCGAGGCGTCACCCTCCACACGTACAAGCCAGTCAACTCCTCCGCACCCTTAGCTGGACCCTGTCCACCCCTCACCTGGGTACCCACCCTGGAGTCCTGCACAGAGCAGGAGCTCATCACCTGTGACCCCGGAAGCCCGAGACCAGTCAGCAGGGTCAGGACCGACCCGGGTCACTGAGAAAGGACAGGACGGCGCTGCGTGCCGGCCCCTCACCCATCACGGCCCTCACTCCGGCGTGCAGGTAGGGACCCTGAGCCCACCGCACGCACAGGTCCCACTTCCCCCAGCCCCCAGCTGTGAGGAGGGCTGCAGGGGCTGAGCCACCCAACCGTATCAGCAGGGCCGGTGGGACTGGGGGTGCACACCAGGCCGTGCAGAGGGTAGGGCTCCAGGAAGGCCCCGGTCCCGGGTGTGAGATCCCAGGACAGTCGCAGCACTGGGCCTTGTGGGCACGGAGGCCCGCCGGACGACTGAACTGGGTGGCAGTGGTGGACCCGTGTGAGGGGCATGGCCAGGAGGAAGTGCGGAACGGTCATGGGGAAGTCCAGAGAGAGAAGGGAGCTAGGCAGGGCTGGCCTTCTAGTGCACCTGCTGGTCAGTCTCAGCATCTTTGGCAAGGGATCTGCAGCAACCAGGAGGCCTCATCTCATGGTCACACCAGTCCCTGGTCGGCCCAGCGTCCTGGAGCTGGGGTCTGGGTGGGACCGCATGCAGAAGGCCAGAGGAGGTGAGGACCACTGGGATTCGGCCAGCAACTGACCCTGGGCCTGTCGTGTGCAGGACCCAGCCCCTCAGGACCACGCCCCACCCAAACAGGATGACCTGTGGAGACCACCCAGGAAGAGAGCTTCCGTTCTGCAAAGTGCACTCAGTGTCCCCCGGCTCTGCCAGCCTCCGACTACTTCCCCATCAGGTGTCTTCGGGAGGATACGCACGGCTTCCAAGCATTTCTACCCAGAGCCAGGAGAGCTGCTGTTGGCCCCAGGTCCCAGACACCCACTGGAGACCTCCCTGCCCTCCCACCTGCACCTCCAGGAGCCCTGTGCCACCTGCAACCACGTGGTGTTCACCCAGATCACTCTGCTTTGCTCTGTGCCCAGCGACCCCTGTGCAGGAGAGGACCAGGGAGATGCTCGAGCCCCAGGACCTGGCAGAGGTGGAAGACCCTGCGTCCCATCCCGGGCACAACAAGAGCACCCGTCTTTGCCCGTGAGGGGTCTTGGGCCACCACGTCCCAGCACTCCAGAAGGGGATCCGGGAAGCAGAGCGCCCCTTGCCAGCACACGTCGAAAAACTCAACGCCACCCTAATTACTGCATGCGGCATTGAAGGAGACTCCCAGACCAAAGGGCGACTCACTCCCAACGGAACGTGGCCTCTAGACGAGAAATCACAGGAAAGAGCAGCCTGAGCACCGCTAAAGCCTCACGAGCTGCCAGCAGATCCGCGAGCTCCCATCCCGGGGTAAGGACCCCAGTGTGGAAACCAAGCGCCTGTCCCGACAGGGCGTGGATGCCCGACGCTTGGGCTCCTCCTGAGCACCGTCACGCTCAGACGCTTGGCCCCGGGCAGGCAGACCGACCGTGAGTTTGGGTCCCCGCCTGCTCGGGGGCTTCCCCTCCCCTCAGGGACAGCCGGCTGGTGCTCAGTGACTGAGCCCCTCACAGCGGCAAACACACAGCTGCTCCACACTGGGTGTCCCTGTCCCTCCGGGGGGGGGGGTCCTCCTCAAGGGAGAGCTGTGCGCTAGCAGGCTGTCCCGGGACTGCCCCGCGGTGACTGCCCGCTCGGACACGCCACAGACCGACGGTGGCAGCCACCAGCGCTCGCACTCGGAGGTCTGTCCTGGGACGTGAACAGCCGGCAGCAGCCAGAGGCTGTGGTGGACGCGTCCGGCACAAATCACCCAGGAGGACCCAGGCACACGCAGTGCCTGGTCATAGGGCGGCTGACAGCAACCTAAGAGCCAGAGGAAGGGGGTGTGGGGACGGAGGACCCACCACAGCCGCGGCTCACGTGGAGAAAGGCTCCTCGTCAGTACCGGACCGTGATCGCGGACAAGGGGGTGGCAGCCCGTGGGTGCTCAGTGCCAGGTGGGCTCTGGGCGCACGAGGGGGTCCCTCCGTCACCGCAAGCCGAGCCCCGGGAGCACAGCACGGGGAGGACGCTGCAGCGGGCACAGCTAGGTGCTAGTGGGGATGCGGCAGCAAGCCAGCCCGACAAATGCACACCTCGCTGGGAAGGGCCAGACGCCACACAGCTCCTCGAAAAGCCCACCCTGCGGCCATGCACCTCCAGACCCGGGCTCGGGAGGGAGCGTGCCGGCTTGCCTTCCCCCTCCCTACGCTTCACTTTCATGTCCCTGTTCCTCAGCCGTCTGCGGCATCCTGGGGGTGCCGCCTCGGCTCAGACGGGCACGGCTAAATGAGAGCGCAGGCGAAGGACCCAGGCCTTGGGGCCGTGTGCGGGGGCCTGGAGAGGCGACATGGGACAGCGGCCCCGGCAGCGAAGCAGGGCCAGGGAGGGGAGCTGGGCCCGTCCCTCACGCGGGAAGGCTGGCCCGGAACAAGCCTGGGCCCGACACTTGGGAGCACGCACACCTCACACACAGCACGGCACTCAGGAGGATTTATTGGAGGGTGTTCTGGGAACGATGGCGCGGCCCACCTCCTGCGGGAGCACTCTGCCCCCCACGTCACCCCGGTCAGGTTCCCACGGGCTGCCCCAGAACCACAGCAGAGACACGGACCGTCCTGCACCGTGGCCTTGCGGGGCCAGCGCCTGAGCCAGCCGGCAGCACCACCCCTGGCTCCCACCAAGGTGCTGTCTTCCTGCCGCGGCTGGTTTCTGGGGTCAGACAGGAGGAGTGTGGGGGCAAAGTGCAGATGCAGGGGCTGCCGCAGCGGCCGGGGCACAGTGGCCCTACCAGTCTTGGTCGTCCCAGCCGTCGTCCACCGGCTCGGCGGGCAGCACGGCCTTCTTGGCGGTCTTGGCTCTGCCCTCCCCACTGCCCCCCCAGGCCTCCCCAAGGTCGCTGTGATCGCTGTTCTTATGGTTGGACGCGGAGCCCGAGCCCCACACGTCCCAGCTGTCCGAGCTCCTCTTCTCGGCTGAGGCGTCCGCGCACGTCCAGCTGTCGCTGCTCGGGGACCTGTGGCCCTTGTTGGGGTCGGCACTCCCGAAGGTCTCCCAGAAGCTCTGGTCCATGGCGCGGTTCTGGGGGTGGTCCCCACCGCTGTTCTGGTAGCTCTGGCCCTCCAGGGGTCTTGGGAAGACAGAGAGAGACTGAACAGCGGCCCGAGCCACCAGGCCATCCCTTGGTGTCCTGCCCCAGGCTGCAGAGGCCCCACCCAGACCTCGACGTCCACGGGACCTGGGAAAGGCCCCCGTGCAGCTCCACCTGAGTCCAGGGCACAGAACCCGCCAGAAGCACTCAGGCCTCCTGCGGCCAGAGCCCCGCTGGGTCAGCCCCACCCCAAAAAGAGCTCGTTGTGAAAGAAAACATACAACACTGGTTTTCTGCAGTGACTGAGGGCAAAGGGGAGCCCTGAGTGCGTCGGCCCTCCCCACACTGTCGAGACAGAGGGGGCCCCGCAGAGCCCCTCAGCGGAGCTGTACCCTGACGAGCACAGCCACGCGGCCTGAGCCACCAAATGGCGCGTCAGGAAGACGTGTGGCCTGTGCCCGTGAGCACAGCAAACGTGCCACCATCCAGCAGTGGCCCCCACCATGGCCGGTCTTCCCGCCCCGCCCACCCTGCGGCTGAAGAACTGGAAACCAGGCCGACCGGGCTTCCAGCAGACAGGCTGGGATGCCAGCCCGGAGCGGACGGTGAGTGTGAGGGGACAGGGTCGCTGAGGCGCCCCACCGGCCCCACCTACCCAGACTGGAGACGGGGATCAGCGCTGGTGCCCCTCCTCTCCAGGCCTTCCCCCTCCCTCCCTGCCCTGGGCAGCAGCAGTTACCACAGGGCCGGAATCTCTCCGATTCTGGGGGCTGCTGTGACCCCCATGCCCCTGGGGATAACATGCCCGTCCCCCGGCGGGGATGCCGACTGCCTCCCAGAGGCCTTGTGGGAAGAAACCCAGGGAACCGGCGTACCTGTCCGATGGGTCCTCTGCTCTCCCAGAGAAGAACGTGGTGACGTCCCGCCATCCCCTACTGCCAACCCCCTGGACCTGGAAGGGGACGGGAGGCGGCAGCTCAGGGTGGGTTCTCACACACGGCACACACACGGTGTCCCGCTCAAAGTCCCGGCAAAGCTTAGAGACGTGAACAGCACAGCCAGGCTCAGGCCCACGGGCTCAGGAGCTCGAGGAAACAGCATGCGCACGAAGCCCCCTGCAGGCTTCCCCGTGCGGAGAGTGGTGGGCTGGGAAGCAGGGGGCCACGCACACCCACACCCGCCTGGAGGAGGCCAGGAGGACAGCAGCCGTCCACCGGCATGTCAGGAAAGTCGCACTCACCGGGGAAGGGCAGCGGCAGCAGGATGAGGGCAGAAAAAAAGAAGCGACAGTTAGCCCACGTGAGAGACCCTCCTCCCGCCAAGCTGTTTCCATATTCCTCTGGCAACCGGCACGGGAGCGTCTCGCTGAGCCTCCTCACCCACTGCTCAGCGGGCACTCAGGCCGCACGAGCGCACAGGGGCATGGAGAGCCCAGGCCCTTCTTGCTCTCGGCCCGGGCGCCCCGGAATGTGGAGACTGGCTTCCTGCTGCACCCGAGTGCCAGGTGGGGCCTGCCCTACCTTGGACGCCAACTGAGACACCCCACTGGACACATCATCAAAAATCTTTCCCTCTTTCACCTGCGTGGGTTAAAACAGTGCTGTCAGCCAAGCGGCAGAAAGCCCACCATCATGTCTCTGAGAAAGATCAGCGCACGCTGAAGAGACCAGTGGCGGCAGCTGCGTGTGACCCTGTCTCCCCCTGGGTGGCCCCCTCCCCACAAGGGAAAAGGGGGCGGGGGCCGCCGACTCCAGCCCAAGCTGTTGAAAACGCATGCATCCTACCGGGGGTGGGGGTGGCTCTGTGTCAGCCACAACCTCCTGAGGGCAGGCTGGCACCGCCCCGAGGCCCCAGCCCGCTGCGGGGCCTCCCTGGCTCAGTCAGCCGCCTCCGCGCTGCCCACACCCAGCCGCACTCTGAGGAACAGAGCTCGAGGCCAGGCCTCCAGGAGCCTGGGGGTGGGGGCCCCCTATGACATGCGGCACTGGCAGGAGTCGAAACCCCCAGCACCAGCTGCTCCCCTGAAATGAGGGCCTACGGGGTGGGGACGGAGGGACAGGGTGTCAGCTGCGTTACCTTCTCCTGGGCAGGTTTGAGGACGTTCTCATTCAGACTGTGGCCCAGCTCCGAAGCCTGTGTGACAAGAGGGAAGTCAGGTAAGCCCAGGCAGCAGGTCAGCCAGGACACTGGTCAGCACGTGGCCGCAAGCTCGGCTGACCGAGGGAAGGCAGCAGATGGTGAGCGGCCCACCAGCACCCAGGACTCCCCCCGCCCGTCCCCCCAGGCCCGGCAGCCGCGGCACCCAAGGCAGTTGCACGAAGTGCCCCCCAGGCACCCCGGCTGGGGGGCAGCCAGAGACACTGCCCCAGGCCTACCCGCTCTAGAGGGAAGAGGCCCAGAGTGGCAGCAAATCCCGCGGCCACCCGCGGGTCTTCCCATCGGAGCCCACGCAATCCCATCCCGTGAGGACAGCCCGCGTGCTGGCAGCAGGTCACATGCTACCCCCCTCGGATGGGGTACAGGCGGGTGCACCCTCGGTCACTGGAGGGGGTGTGAGCCCACCTGCCCACCACTGGGCACCTGACTCAGGGAAGAGCACAGAGCCAAGGTGGGTGGGATGGGGCGGGACGATGGGCAGCTAAGAGGGAGCGCGCCAGGAAGCAGTAGCCTCGATGGACAGGGTAACCGCACACCTGTCAGCACCTTACCACCGGGATAACCCTCCTTCCGCTCACTGAACTCGAGGTGATCCAGCCGTGAAATGAAAATCCTGCCCAGTAGCTCCTCGCACCCCAGAAGGAGCCGTGCCCCCCCCGGTTCAGGACCCCTGGCCTCCCGCCGGGGTCTTGGGTCCCTGAACAGCATGGACGGGCCAGACAGGAGCCCAGCAGGCTGGCGGGGAGCTCCGAGGGTGAGGGCACTGAAGCGAGGACACATACAGGCCACGGTCTGGGGACGCTCAGGGCAAAGCACGTGGTCAGCACAGAGACGGGGAAAGGCATGCACGAGAACAGACTTGGGGCCTTACCATCTCGGGCTGCTGCTTGGAGCCCCAAAACTTTACCCAGACAGCAAGGGAGCGGGTTGGGGCGGAGGGGGAGAGAGGGAGAAAGTGAGAGAGCCGGCGAGCTCGGGCGGGAGCAGCGGTGGGCAACCACCAGGAAGCACCTCCAGACGCGTCAACCGGCCTCACGTTCTCGCGGCGTCACCCCAGTGGGTGTCCTCAAAAGTGACCTGGAGTGCCCACTTACTGCCACCGAACCTCACTGCTTTCCACTCCCAATGTACAACTTCCAGAACCACTCGCGCGCAAGCAGGTCAGGAGCCCGAAACAGGGACAGGCCATCCTCGAACACCAACCACCCCCCTCCCGGGACAGCCTCTGGGCCCGCTGCCTCCGCCTGTGTCCTAACCCCCACCACCAGGGCACAGGCGGTCCAGAGCCCTGCCACCACCTGGGGACTGCCAGGGCTACCAACCAAGATTTGAAAAAAAAGAGAAACGCCAACACCCCAAACCACCACACGCAAGAGAAACTAACCGGGAAATTTCGGAGGGCTAGCCTGCCCCACCCCACAACCCGCAGTCCTGGCAGCACCAGGCTTCCTTCCACCCATGGGTGCAGACAGCCGACTGCACACGAGCCTTACAGCTGTCCGGGTGCCCTCAGCCCTGTGGGGCCTTACAGGCGCAGCTTCTCACCCCCCTGCTAACCCACAGGCACCTGAAGTGATGCACACAGAAACACCCCCTCTCCCGAGCACAGGCCCCGAGGAGGGCAGACCAGGCATCTAGACGACGACAAGACAAAATTAGGAACTTTAACAGCACAGAACGCAGAAGCTTCCGTTGTTACCTTCTGACTTGCTTGAGATCCAAATTTGGTTGCCTGAAAAGAAACATGGCTTTCAGTCACCGGTCCTGACACCAGACCCCCAGCTGCACATCCCCAGGACTCAGCACTCAATCCTAGGTCTGTCTCCTGACGGCCTCCCACCTCCCAGCAGCTCCGAGGGGCCCAGCAAAGCTGCCCACTAGGCCAGGCTCCACTGGAGGGGAAGCAGGTCCCCAGTAGGGGGCGGCCACCCCAGCCCCATCAGCGGTGGGCTTTGCCGTGGCCCAGACCATGCCACCTGCTTGGCGCCCAGCGTGGGCCCATCCCACAGCACACCTTAGCACAGCACCCCCAACAGTTTCATAAACAAACAAAGAAAAGGCCTGGCCATAGATGTTCCCGCTGAGAGGCGCCGGAACCTCTTGGCTGTGCCCTCCAGGGACGAGGCCTGGAGAGAACCAGCGGAGGCCACGTGCCAGAGCGCTGGTGCCACAGGGTCTGGTGCCCCTCGAGGCCAGGCTCCTCCCAGGCCAGATGGGGGAGGATGCAGGGCACTGTGGCCCATGGGGAGCACGGAGAGAGGTCCATAGCACCTTCACTTCGGCCCAGAGCCAGCCCCGTGGTTCCTGCTGGTTGTGGAGCTGCAGGCACCCGTCTGGCCCTCAGAACGTTCCTGTCCAGGGCCTACTTGGCCGGGCGGCCCCTTGAGCCTGCCCTGGGCTCCTCCTTCTACAGGTCACCTTTCTCACCAAGGCCACGCTGACCAGGAAAACTGCCGGGCGCCCTGACAGTCTCCCCTCTGGGGTAATGTCCTCAGACAGGTTTCTGCCTGTTCCTTTCCAAGATCATAGCCACTCCCCACCCGTGTGTCTTGACTAAATCCCCGACCCTCCCTCACTTGGGCAGAGGAGCGGGTGAGGGGGAGAGAAGTCCGACTGCCTGAACCCTGCTCCGTGCCCAGCAGCAGAAACTGGAGGGCTGGCAGGCCCACTCAGCCTGCGGGGCTCACGATATGCCGCCTTGGAGCATGGCACACCCCTCTCCTAGAGTGGCACCCCTCTGCACACAGCTCATCTCTGACATGCAGACGGGTGCCTGCCACTGAAGCAGTGAACGGTGGGGCCCTGAGATCTGCTGCAGCCTTGGGGACTTGGGGCCAACAGCACACGGCCTGGGAGGGAGCCCTGTGGCTGGAAACGCCCTCCACCCCTCGTCGGAGCCCCTTCAAGACCCCTGTCTGCCCCCAGACCCCAGAGTAGCAGCCTGTGTGGGCCTGCAGGCGGGGCACTAGGATGGGCTACTCACCCCCTCCTTAGCGGCCGAGGCAAACTTGCTCGCTCCGGTGGTAAAACTGCTCCAGCCCTGAAAAGAAGCAACAGAGAGGCCACGTCGAGGTTTCACGGGCGGCCGAACTGGCAGGCTGTCTGCCATGCCATCCACCGCTCAGCGAGGGGCTGACAGATTCCGCCCCCAAATCTGCAGGATGGCCACCTCCGGGGTCCCGTTCAACAGCAGCAACCCCACTTCCCACGCAGAATGGGCACGCGAGCCGTGGGCCCACCTGAACACCATGCACCCGCCTCCTGGCAGCCACGGCATCCGGCCCAGCGCGTGTGTTTGTGCCGCGCCACCTTACTGGACCTCCACTGTGCGCTCGTGCTTGTTCTCTCCTTTGCCCTTGGTCCCTCCTACCTCCCCTTGAAGGAGCGGGGCCTGGCACCTAGTCTGTGGGCAGACCTGTTCTGAGTTTGAGGTCTCGCCCCTAAACCCCCAAAGCCGACTGAAACTATTTACGGACACACACGTCCCACTCAAACCCCAACTTCCCAGCAGAGCCTCTGCCCCCCAAGGAAGCAGAGGAACCCTTAGCTCAGGAGACAAGCACATTCAGCTTCTTCGGTGAATTAAAAACCCGTAGGAGGGCGACACAAACACAAATGCGCTACGTTGGGTGGGACCTGGAGAAGGGACCCCGGCTGCCCGGGGCCGCCACCACCCGCGGCTCTGGAGGAGCAGCTTTAATTTCTGACAAGTTCCATCACTTCGGGAACAGCACGTGTCGCGGACCAGAAGAGGACAGCAGACAGTGATGGTCAGCAGACCTCCCACTGCATCCAGGACGCAGGGCCCTACAGTGGCGGCGGACACACGGCTGCTCCCGGGGGCTTCCTGTGTTTTCACCCAACACGTCTGCTCCTCCTGCACTTGCTGCGTCCCCCCAGGGCACTGCAGACCCTGTCCTGTTAGCGTGGAGGACGTCTCCTTGCCTTTTCACGCGTGCGGTACCCAGAGACGGGCCGCTCCCAGCCGTCACTGACCAGACCCCTGGGGGTCAGCAGCTACCATCACAGACAGTGCTACAATGAACGAACATCATCTAAAGACACAGTAAGTTTCCTTGGAAAACGATGGTTTGACCGGAAGCTGAGGACAAAAGCGCAGGGCCGCGAGCGTCAAACCCAGAGGGTGCCAGAGCCCATGCGGCTTGGAGAGCGGGGCTGGTGGGCAGAGCACTGGGATCGGCTGCGCCTAGTGCTCTGGCAGGACAGGAGGACCAGGCACACACCACACAGGATGTTGTGCTTGGAGGAAACGCGCCTGGCTAGTGGGAAACACACATTCTGTAACAAAGTACGTAAGCAACTGCACATGCCGGGACCGAAATGAATAAGCCAGGTCATAGAGAAAACTTCGCCGAAGGAAAGGGGAGGTGTTCCATAGGCGGGGCCGGCTGTGGGTCTGCGGGGCAAGACGCGGTCCTCACCGAGCACAGGGACGACACAGCGCTGCTGAGGAAGTCCTCATCCCTCTTCGGGGGCGGCACTGTGTTCCCAAACCCCACATAGCGGTTCTCCTGGGCCCTGACAGGGAGACAAAAAGCAGCATGCTCCTGAAAGCCTTGAGGCAGGAGGCACCCAGACCCTGGGCAGAGGTGCGAGGGCCCCGGGGAGGACGTGCATCCACAGCAAGGCAGGCACACAGGTCAGGCTCCCCTCTGCTCACCGGAGAACACCCTCCTGCTGCATTTAGCCAGGGAACCTTGGCAAGACCCAAAGCCAACAGCCTATTATTACAAGAAGCATCCAAATGATTTAATCCGACAGCTCCAAGAACAAAACTCGCTTATAGGTCAGGTTGGTTTCAAGAAGGAAAACTATTGTTTTTTCCTTTTCTCTCCACTCAAAACCACTCTTCAAACCTGGGCTGGCCCAGGGATTGCCACAACCAGCACCCGCGTGATGCATGCGGGCTCGATGCGCCCTGCACACAGAAAGCAGCAGGCCCTAGCCCTGAGGGACTGAACCCCTGCTGCCCGTGGCCTCACCCCTGATAGGAGCCCAGGTCATCATTAAGCCAGTCTTCAAATGCCTTGTCTGAGGAGGAGGTCGAGTTCTGTGGGTGGCCAGAGGCTCTGAAAGGGAGAGTCAGAGGTCAGTGAGCCCAACAGAGGACGGGCAGGTGCCTGAGGGATCTGTGCGGGCCTCTAAGCTGTTACATCCACCTGGTCACTCCTGGGCTCCTCCAAGAATGGAGCACCTAAAGCCAGCTGGCCTCCAAGTCTGTCTGAAAGGCAGCTCAGGCTCAGGCTGGCAACAAGCGGGCACACTCCGGACCCAAAGGGCCGGATAGCAGCTCCACGCCTGCCCATGCTAGCAGGGAGACAGCAGAGAGGCTGGAGAGACAGAGGCTGAAGCAGGCACATCAACAGTGGTCCAGGGACCTTCCACATAAAATGCACAGTGCAGGGGTGGGGTGGGGGTCCCTGGGCACCCACGGTGCAAACAGGGAGCCTTCTCTGGACCGGTCACTCCAGAACACCAGCCTCTGACATGCGAGAGGACGCAGGGGGACCAGCTTGTCCGCATCATACCTGCACTCAGGGGTGGGCAATCCTCAGAGAGGACACAGGAGGTAAACAACACTCAACTAGGACGTTTCCTACAGAGATGCACGCATGTCACGGGTGCGTGTCTGGAAGGACTTGCACCAAACGGGCTCTTGAGAAATGGGGAGGTACGCCCTTCCCCTTAGACACAGCTTACAGGTTGCCTTTTTACTGAGCCTGTATTGCTTCAATGACCTACAGAGTTGTTTTCCCCACTGACTTTCGGGAGCAACTCACAATGGGAGCTGTTCCCACACCAATATGGGGTCCTGAGCTACGGCTGAGATCAGGGCCAGGCCCAGAACAGTCTGAGGCCAGAGGAGTAGCTACCGGTGGGCAGTAGACGGCAGTGTCTTGGGTTGGGGTGGGGTCCAGTTCTGAGCAGGCGATGACTCGGGAGACCATTCTCTGCCTTCAGCCAGAGTGGCCACCTGCCGAGGGGACACAGGCATTAGACAGCCCAGGACAGAGACGTCACCCACTCTAACGTGTCCTGTCTGCTGTCTCTCCCAGGCTCAGCGGCCACGGGCTGGGGGCTCTCTGCCACATGTCAACACCGAGACAGGGTCTCACTCTGAATGAACAGCGGTGCTGGCGAGTTCTTGGTCAGTGGCTCCAACCCCAGATGACGCACTGCCATCCTCGGCAGAGTTTCAGCCACCATGTACAGAGGAGCGGGCACGCAACACTCTCCCCGAGGGTGGGGAGGAAGGCCCGTTCTTCACCTCTGCTAACAACGTGCCACCTACTTTCCCCCGGGTGGGACAAGACGGCCCACGTGTCCTGTCTGTGGACAGACTGTGCATGGCCTCTGCAGGGAGGTCAGAGCCCACAGGAGAATGCCAGCTCCCACGGGCAGAGCCTCGGCACCCCTACCTTGTCCCTGAAGAGGGCTGCGGCCTTGCTGTTGTACTTGTCCTGCAGGGACCAGCAGGGGTCATAGTCCTCCTGAGACTCCAGGAACTCCCGGAATTTCGCGTTCCCTCCAGCTTTCATCTTCTCCAGCTCCACGTCCTTCCACTTGTCCATGGTCACGGAGCGCACGAAGCTAGAAACCAGAGAGCCAACCTACTTATTAGCATTGGGCGTCCAAGAGCCCCCCACCTAGGTCATGAATCTGGTGCAGGCACTTCCCCTGACGGAAGCGCAGAACAAGCAAGGTGGCGCGCGTTACCCCGTCACCGCACACCCGACAGGAGGCCCTCGAGGCAACAGGGGCAGGGCACTGACCTGAGGTGCACCCCGAGCCCGCGGTGCTTCCCCGAGCACTCCAGGCAGATCCAGATGCCGTAAGTCACACTCACCCACTGAGGATTGAATGCACCACACTCAAAACACACCTGCGGAGAGGGTCACGTGCGACTCACCCAGGCACTTGGGGCCCCGAGACCCCAAAGACCCGACAGGTGGCCCCAAGAGGGAGCAGAGGAGACTGGCCCGAGACTAACAGTAACAGGGAGAGCTCTGAGAGGTTTGCTAAACCTCAAAGCACCAGAGCAGAGCAGATGCTTACGTTGTTTTCATCCTGCACTCTCACTTCTTTCAGAACTTTCCTCGTTCTGGGGCTGGCCATGATGCTGCAAAGGAGAAACACAAAGTTTTAAAACTTACCAGTAGGCTACTTTACAAGAAAACGAATAAGTGCAAAAACACTAGCACACACAGCTTCAGAGAAATCCCACGAAGCTGCCTGGATGCTATGGGGTAACGCCACTGCTCACTACAGGCGGCATGAGGGAACCACTTACAGAAAGAACCTGTCCTCCACACACTAAGAAAAACCCAGAGCCGTCTGGATGTTTCCAACCAAAGGCAATGCAATTATTAAGAATAACATAATTACTGGTGTCCGCTTTGCCTAAGCATCATATACCACCCGCACTGCATAATTTATATAACGTCCCGTCTTGTGATGAAGCCCATAGCAAGGGGTGGTCTTTCTAAACCTACACAGACTGGCCGCTCAATCTGACTGCCCACCTGAAAGGTCAACACCTCAGACTGGGGCCAATAACCTTCGGAGACAGGGAACCCCAGTTCTCTGCATGCCACAACGTCCTTCTACTCCCCAGCCTGTGGTGTGGGCTGAAGCGGCAGCCCCGACCGATACGTGCAGAGGCCGGTTTGTGGGGGGCCTACAGGGATGTCCTCCATGGGCCCATTACAGAGGGTGGACGTGACAGACGGCATGAGCACAGCAGGGCACACCTGCCACCATGCCTCATGGGGACACTGCCGGGGTACCACACCTTAATTCAGGCTGAAGAGAAAAACCATTTCTGTCTTTACCCAGCTCCTAGCTTTGGCAAAGCTCAAGTTCAACCAACAGCCCACTGGATTCATGACCAGGAAAAGCGATAAGAGTAGATTCAAGCTGCAGGAAGGGGGTGGGAGCCCGCACAGCGCTGGCCATAAAGCAACCCCATGGTCCTGCACACCCCACCACCACTTGGCCCCAGGCCACCTCTACCACCACCAAGGCACAACTGCACGTGTGTCCCCCTGAACCTCGCCCTTCCCTCACTCGTGAACGGAGCCTGTGAGCTGCTGCCCCTAACTCTCATGGCAACACGTACCCATGCAGAACACGCAGGGACCCTGTAAGTGGCTCAGAACTGGACACCTGCCCAGCTGCTGGACATTTCATGCGGCCAGCTTCTCTGCCGATAGTGAAGCTGGAGCTTTCTACTGACGTGCAGTGTAAACATTCCAGGAGGATCTCTGGCTGTACCTCACCTGTAATCTTAGTACGCAGAAATAAGCCATGGGTGGAAACCCTGACTCTCTGCACAACCAAATTTTCTAAATCTGGAAGGCCAGGACTGCTGTGCTCATCAGTGCCCCCTTTGAAGCTAGCTGAAGGAAATAACAAACAAACATTGGTTTTCAGTTTTTTACAATTGATGGACAAAACTCAGAGCTCACTCACGGCTCTTCTGCACTCTGCAGTTTTCTGTGCTACGTGTGACAGTCTACCAAAACCATCGGATCTCAAGAGCAAACACCTGAATACATCATCCTGGTAGGACTCATTCAAGTGGGATACTTTCAGCACACTGAGCATCTATGCCACCGCACACGAAAGGCATCAACAGGTAAACACCACACACACTTGGAGAGACATCGGGCTGGATCTGAATTCACAAAGCCCTTTGCACACATCTGTCTCACTGGAGAGCCCCTTGTGGCCTGCTGTGCGGGGCTGACATGCACACCTGCCCAGTCTCCATACTCAGCCCCGTGCTCTTTCCAGAGAACTGTGCCTTCCCTCAGAGGTTCATATTCTGGTCAAAAGGCACCAGCAAACAGAAGTCAGAACTGGGTTGAGCATGCTCCGAATTTCTAATTGTGTGAAATAAAATTAAGCAGACCAAATGTTTGCAGAACTAATAGCAAAGTAACGTACGAAAAGGAAATGACCTGATTTTAAAGAAACTCCCCTTGGGGACCAGTTTTGGATGTGAGCAACCTTCAACTCTCTGAAATGCTAACTTTGATACCTGAAAATGCATCCTAACTTTCAAAACCACAAATACGGTTTATCTTGAAAAATCATCCAAGAACTTTTTAAAGCTTGAAACCAGGACGGTAAAATGCAGCTTTTCTGCAAGTGGACATAACTTCAGTAAATGCTGAACCAAATGAGGACACTTTTTCTTAGTTCACCACGTAGGCCACTTGTTAACTGCACAATGCTTGGTCCTGAAGGAGGGACCTTGTCCGTATCATAAATTAATTAAAAGGGATGACTGAGGGGAAGGACTGGGTCCCCGGGGCTGTTACAGTGACGAAGACAGACAGAAACCACCGGGAGCATCCAGAGCACCTGTGCGAAGGCACAGCCCCTTCTCCCGGGACGCACGGATCTGTTGTGAACCTGGGCGGGGTGGGGTCCTGGGAAGCAACGCCAGAGCAAGCCTGAGAGCTCAGCACCCCCTGGGCCATCCCCACGGGCGCACTGTCATGGCCAGAGCGCGGCAGGAGGGTTAGGCCTGCCCCAAACGAGCAACATCCCTTCCTAGGGTTGGTGGTCTGCGGTGGAGCTTTGACCAGGGCAGACGGGACGCATATCCCACGGGAACCGAAAAGGACCGTTCGAGCCCCTCCCGGGCGGCTCCCCCTCCCTTCCCGAGGGGGTCGTCCACGGCACCATGCGAGGCCGAGGCTGCCGCTCCTGACCACACCGGCCTCCCCCGCACCCGCCAGACGGCACCCTCGCTTCCCAGGGCGGAAGCCCCTCAGCCTGCAGCCCTGCGCTGTCGGTCTGGACGCTGCGCCCCTTCCCCAGGAGGAAGGGGCGCGGCGGGGTGCGCGGGGCCGCGGCTGCGGGAGGCTTCCAGGAACCGAGGTGGGGGCGGCTTCGGAGGAGAGAGGGGCGGCGGGCCGGGGTTCGGGCCGGGGCGTCAGCCCAAGCGGGCCGGGTCCTCGGGCCACGCGCTTACCGGGCGGGGTCCGGACTCGATCCCGCGCACCGGGGGTCCGCCGGGGGTCCGCCGGGCTCGGGCGCGCCGCAAGCTGCTCCGGGGACGCGCGCCGGCCGCCCGCCCCGCCGCCACCAGCTTCCGGCTACGTTGCGCCTCGCGGGGCATCACGGGAAGCCGGGCGAGATGGGGCGGGCCGGCGGGGCCGGACTTCCGCCTTCGCTCGTCGGGCCGGAGGGTGGCCACGCCCCTGTCGCCTTGGGGACGCGGCGGGCCGGCGGGGGACGGGCGCGGTCCGCGGGGCGGGACTGATTGTCCGGCGGGGACCGGCCGGGTGCCGGTCCGCAGCGGCGAGCACGGAAAACGCACCCTGCTTCCGTGGGGACGACTCCGGGACGGCTTGTTCACAGGGGGCTGATTAGGAAGGCGCGGCGGGGGCGGGGCTCCCAGGGCCGGGGGGCAAGCGGAGTCCTGGCGTGCGGTGGAGGGGACCCAGCAGGGGAGGGACCCGTGACCAGGGGCCGAGCCCGGCTGCAGCCGCAGGACCCCGGGTCCTCCGGCTGGGAGCGGGTTTGGAGGGGCGGCGGGGCAGGCGGAGCGCGCAGCAGGGCGGTCACCTGCAGGCTGCAGAGCTGGGGAGCGGCCGGATCCCGAGTTCCCGAGGACGCCTACAGCAAAGACTGCCGTTAAAAGGATTGTCTCTGGGGGGGGGGGGGGAATCGCAAGCGATCCGTGGTTTGCTTTGTGCTTTCTAGACATTTCTGTGTTCTTTGTGCATATTCTTCGTCCACGTAACTTTCGGAATGGTCACGTATAAACGTTTTTATTGAGGTGTAATTTACCGTCAATAAAACGTACAGTTGAATGACTTGACAAATGCATACCCCATGGAACCACCGCCATCAGTTAGTTATGGAGCATTCCCACCGAGGCAACCACCGTTCCTACTTCATCCTCACATCCTAGCTGGGTCTGTTCTAGACATTTGTATAAATGAATGCAATATGTACTCTTTTTCCAATGGCCTCTTTCAGTTCACAGAATGATTTGAAGATCCACCCACGTTGTTGTGTGGGTGGATCTACCCCAGGCGCTTAATATGAATGGACTCCTACAGTATGTGTCCTACCGGGTCTCTCGCCTCAGCATCATGTTTTCAAAGTCATCCGTGCTGTAGCTCTCTGCGCTCCATTCCCTGTAAATGCTGAATGGTATGCCACTAAATGCAATGCCACTCTGTTAGACCCCGGAGTCATTCTTAAGTTTTTGATATTATGAATAAAGCTGCCTTGAAGTTCATGTACCAGTCTTTTTGTGGGCATATTTTTTATTTCTCTCGTTTAATCACCTAAAAGTACAATTGCTGGGTGATTGTCAGGTGTACTTTGAACTTGATATGAAATTGCCAGTCTCCCAAAATGGTTGTGCCATTTTCTACTCCCCCCTGCAGTTAGAGAGCTCCAGTTGCTCCACGTCTTTTGTCAGCACGTGGGTTCTCAGGCTTTCACGGCAGCCACGCTGGTGGGCACACAGTGGGGTCTCATTGCGTTTCCCTCCGTGGTTGACTGAAAGCTGCCCTGGGTGCTTATCTTGACTTCCCAGCACTCCCAGCCTGCCTCGTGCCTGGCTGAGCATGAGCACTCTCCTGCAGCCGGAGGGAACCCTCCAGAAGGAGCCACTGGGTTCACGGAAGTAAACAGGCACCACTAGGGTCTACACGGTGGCAATAGGAGACTAGATTTCAGCACAAGAGCCTGTGGTCGGAACTGTAGGCTCCACAAGTTCAGAGAAAGAGAGCCAGGTGCTGCATTTACAGTGGGCTTCCTGGAGGAGGTGGGCTGTGAGGGGTGAGAGGATGTTGAAAAGGAGGAGAGGAGGAGGGAAGACCCTCCTGGAAAGCAGAACTAGAGCCGGCATTTGGCACCCACTAGACCAAACAACCAGTGAAGGCTGAATGTTCAGTTTTCTGATCACAAAGCAAAAGGGTCAAGCACCCACCTGCCCTAAGCTCTGGGAGGCCTGGGGCTATGTTCATCCCTAGAGAAGGTACATCCCTGGAGCCAAGACCAGACGGGTGGCCTTCCAAGGCCAGGGCTAACCTACTGCCCCACGACATCTGGACAGCTTTTGTCTCTTTCCGTGATCTGAAGGCTCTT